GAGCCTCCCTTTGGGCGGGTCTAGCCAGAGGCTCTGGATTGGGCGCCTATATCATCAGTGAACCAATCAGCGGATCTGACTGCGCATCAGAGTGTTGATGGGGAGGGTTATCAGCAATATCTTACCAAAATCAATTCCTTGAATTAGGCTTTGATTATGTTCTGGCCCGCCATCTTGTGGCTCAGCAAAAAATTGGCCCAAGGCCAAATTTACTTGCCTACCCCTGATCTAATCTAATGCAGATACACACACACTCAAAACAATGTCTATGCCTTCGGGAGGAATTTGGGGTTCAGTATCGGATCCATCAATAGAGGAGCTGGGGATTAAAAGCCGATGTTGCTCATTCTACTCCACCTGACTCTGCCTATGCTGCTGTAATACATTCTACAGCTGCTCAAGGGAGTGTCAAAGTCTTGTATGTATTCTTATTACGGTTATCAAATGTGTAAATATTATAAATAAGAAGGGAAAGAAGAACAAGAAGAAGAAGAGCAGGAGGAAACTCCTAGCTAAATGTCCAGCTGCTAATAAAATTAAAGTTGGGACCATTCTTTGGTTTCCTATATCCAAGCACAAAGACAAATAATCCACTGACAGGTGACTAGAAACAGAACCCCATCGTGTTTATCTCCACCAGAATCCCTCACAGCTGGTGTAAGCCAACATGGCACCCTTGAGCCAGCACCAAATCCTGTTGTAATTCAAAGTTGTTGCCAGAACAGAACATTTGTTGCTTTCGTTGCTGAAGCCCAGCTGCATGACTCACGTTTGACGTTCCACTTGATCCGGCTGTCGTCCTGCAGGCCCAGTCTCTGGTCCAGCTCCTCCAGGACCAGTCCCAGCTTGCGTATCTGAGCAGGGCTGGTCAGCGCCATCTCCTCCACGGGCACATCCACCCCGGCCAGCCTGGCTGTGGAGATCAGAAGATTATTATTAGGGCCTGAGCTCGACTGAGTCGGAGCGAAGACCTATTGAAATCCTTGGGATTCTTTTTTTTTTTTTCTACCAAATGAATTGCCTTTTTGAGGGCCTTAGCATGCTCAAAAGACAGAGATGTTTTGCACACTTGACAGGTCTGGTGAACATTTTGATCAGAAGACTTAGAGAATCACAATTTATCGTTTAGTTTTTGTCGATATCATACAATCTTGCGGTGGCGTGGCGGAGATAAACATCTCACGTCAAGACCAGGGTCAAGACATGTAAAGATGTGTGTGTGTGTGTGTGTGTGTGTGTGTGTGTGTGTGTGTGTGTGTGTGTGTGTGTGTGGTGTGTGTGTGTGTGTGTGTGTGTGTGTGTGTGTGTGTGTGTGTGTGTGTGTGTGTGTGTGTGTGTGTGTGTGTGTGTGTGTGTGGTCCTGGAAAATCCTTGGAGTACCCCAACGTGCGTTGACTTGCGAAGGCCCGTTTATAGCTTTAATTATTATTATAGTTTGACTGACATATAAATGACAAGCTTTATGGTGAACAACAATGGGGATCATTTGTTATTTTTCTATCTTCAAATGTAATGATTAAATGAAAGTAAGCAATGATATATGACAGCACAGCCATTCAATGTGCATTAACTCACACAGCATGTGGTGAAGCACCAGACCATCGTACAGATCCTCCTCCAGACTCTGAACCACTATGTGTTCTGGTTTCAAAGTGCTATTGATCCAATTTACCAGCGCCTACCAAAACACAATTTATCACACAATCAGACAGATCAAACACTTCTTGCATACATTTCTAATGTGCAAATTAAAAACAGCATGAAACCTTGTTTTTTATTAATTCTGTCCATCGATTTTCAGAGATAATACGATCCTGAAGTGGATGGAAATTATGACAAATACAAAATACCCCTCCAAAATAGCTGATATTTCATTTGTTTGTTTTCCAATCTCTACATGTCAGGCTTATTGAATTATTTACTCATTCACTGCTGCTTGCATGAAGCACTTGTGCTGCCATCTTTTCCGATATAAACCTTGTCTTTAAGTCAGAACCAGCAGACTGTGCCGACTCCTCGCTGTGGATCTCTCATCTGTCTCCCATCACCTCTGATAATTATGTTCATTAAAATGTCACTGATCCTTCTACCTCTCTCCCTGAGGCAGATATTATTCATGCTCTTCTCTGCACAAATATACATGCAGGCTCTATAATGTATTTTCTGAGTAGCATTCATCTCCAGCCCACTCAGGACAAACTCCCTGTGAGGTCCAGGATGAGTTTTGATGTTACAGTAAATGTATAATAGAAGATGTCGAATAATCTCTTACCTCTTTTAGCTTTGCAAGTTTGGGGTCTTTTAAAGCTGTTGGCTGAATGAGCTTCTGCTTCTCTTCTGTGTGAATATACAAACAAAGTCCATCGGTCAAAGAGACATTTTCTTATATATTTAAATGCTTAAACTTGGTAAATAACAGCTCTTTTATCATCCTAGAAAGTCAAATATTTTATTTATTGAAAGGCAACATCCCATGTGTTTGCGCCTGAAATGCAATATACACATATACTTTACACTTTTAAATGCATGCCTAAATGCATTTTTCATTTCATTTTCATATGGTATGAAAAGCAATGAGCTGCAGTCGTGAAACTTGCATGAGCTGTGAAATAAATCATACCAAACATACATTGTGCATTATTGTTTTTTATCTTCACACTATTGTAAGAAACGTTTTACTCATACAGTACATACTGACCTGAAAAAAACCGTTGGCAAAAAAGGATGATACAAATTGTGATGTGTATTATAATTATTAAACAATAAAGTCTGCAGATAACAGAGGGTTACTCAGAATAAGTATTTTTTCAATATGAAATTCTCTCAAACCTTCCTATTTCAGGAGGAACTACTACAGCCACTAAGAAGTAGCTCAATGCACATGTTGTTGTGAGTATCTTATCAAGAGAATCTTACCAAAAAAATGTAACAAGTCTTGTTAAACATTGCCTGATATGAAGCAGTTTACTGAATGCACATATACCCTGAAAAGACTTGATGTCAACAGTGTCTTCCTCTTTGTGATACTCAAAGATGTCAGCCTCCATCTCTTTTCCTCAGGGTGAGATGTGCAACACCTGCCAGCAAAATCTGCTGAGAGAAAGAGCTTGAAAAATAAACCACAGAAGAATAAAGAAACACCTTTTCCATCAACATGTTTTGCAGAAAGTCTCTTTCAACAACGTCTCAGTAAGTGTCCTGAATTTCAAACTGCTGCAGGGTAGTTACTCTGACCAGCAGAAGCTGAGTGCAGCTTATTGTTGCATGAAAGCCTTGTACCTCTACTTTTCTGTTTTCCAGGTAAAAGTGAAACAGTCTTGTACCCAATGGATTTCTAGAATTGGGATTTGAAAATAGTTTTTTTCATGGCTAACAATTTAGCTAAAACACAACAAAACTGGTCAAAAACACGTCAACCTGAAAGAGGAAGATGGTTCGTTTCCTCACTTCCTTTTGTCTTTTTCAGCAACACGCTCAACAGATCAAGTGCTGTAGATGCCCCCCAGATCTGCAGGGCTTTACCTCACATTTGTGAATCACACAGTCAAAGACAAATGAAAGTGAACACATAACACACTCTGACAAAACAGACGTGACCTGGAGTGTGTCAAATTGTTGTTTCCTGGATCAGGAGAAGAGAGAAGCTACCGGTGGTGAGAGTCTCTTCTCTTCCTGTGTGTTTTGTATGTGGTGCTTCCTTTTCCTGATGTTGACAGTAACTTTCAAACAAGGTCATAAACAAGAAGTATTTTTAAATAACCTTACCTTTAGAACTCTAGAGCGACTCGACAGAACTGGGTGACTATCGCTGAAGTAAGTTCCTTAACTGATGTCAACTCCACAAGCTGTCAAAACAGCCGTATAAGAAGTGGAGAAAGCTGCAATCTAACAAAATACCACCTCCTGTGAAAGTGCAAAGGGTCTGACTGCACTCAATTTCAAAGCCCTGCTTGAAAAGAAAATAACATGTCACAGGGTCGAAAGGGAAGATAAGCACGGAGAGGATGTGGCAAAGAAGAAGGTAGCACTTCCTCTTTGTGATACTCGTTTTGCAGATAAGGGCGTTAATGTTCTGAGTCACATACTGCGTTTGAAACTTTAATAATAAGTAGGTGTATAGAGAAAACGGAAACAGGGAAGAATCGGTGCTGAATGTTTTGTTTGGACAACCACACTTCAGGATGGCCGGCAGAAGCGTGACTCTCAGAGCCTTGAAACACTCAGACTCGACTCACACATCTCCATCTGTGACCGGATCAATTTGCCGTCGTCTGGTCTTCACATTCTCCAGCAAAAAAAGAAAGAGAGAAAGAAATATAGACAGCACAACATAAAAGCTCTGCATGTGAACCAGCTTTGTTGGAGAAAAGAAAAAGGACCACCCATCAGCCAGACGAAGGGGCAATTTGGGGGATGTGGAAGGTTACCATAGCAACAAAGGAACGAGACAAGAAAATAAAAGGTCTAAAGTAAACCTATAATTCCTTTAGCTAAACCCAAATTGCAGGAATTGGCTGTTCCAAAGGCAATTTCGCTCAAAACGCAGAAGCGAATCTAACCCATCGCACACGTAAGAGACACAATGAAATTCTCATTCTGTTTGATTTCAGGCATTTATTTCTTGATAGGCAAGATTATAAAAAAAAACGAGAAGCGCATAGGGGTGAGACATCAAAACGCAAGCGTGGTTTGGATTGATTCATCCACTCTCTTCATAATTCATCCACGGCTTTAAAATGCATGAGTAGTCGTGCATGGTACATCTTAGCACATCTCCGGGTGGCACGGCGGGCTCCTGCTCTGCTTCAGGAGAGCCGAGTGAGGGTGCAGACCTCCTCGGAGACTCGTTTGAAAAGGCCGGGTCAATACGAAGATACTCTGACTCATGAATCTCCTGAGGCTGAGAGAGCTGCACTTAAAGCAAAACAGCAGCAGCTCTTATGGTTTGAGAAGTGGTGTGCATAGTTCAGAGAAAAAAAGGACCATTCCTAGTTCAGTTATCAAGTAAAAGCAATTATATATATTTATATATAGCTGTAGTAATATACAAACAAAGCATTTTCAGATATCATATAATACATGGCATTTTCAAGTTTTGTTAAAGGAATAGTTTGGGGAAATATACTTATTCGCTTTCTTGTCAAGAGTTACACGAGAAGATCAGTAACACCACACACATGAAGCTACAAGTTAGCTTAGCCTAGCATAACGCTAGTAGCAGAAGGTAACAGCGCTGTAGCGAAAAATGCAAAATACAGCAAGTTAAAGTGTATTTGGTAATGAGTTACAACAATAATCTGACTCTGTGATATCTGTTTTACTTTATAATAAATTAGTATGCCATACTAATGTAACTTTTCTTGTAAAAAACAACTTTTTTTTAATTGTTACTCCCAAATCCAGCTTACTGTAAATCGATAATGTAATGAGACAGCCAACTAGAAAGCTTAAGAAAGGGAGGTATATCATCTCTAAGCTAGCTGTTGAGTTGAGCCTTAGGTAAAGTTTTTTAATTGTTATTTGACGAGCAGTTCCTCATGTCTTAATGCTAAGCTAAGCTAACTGGCTCTTGACTCTTACAATAGCTTTAAATGTAGTATTATCCATCTTCTTATCAAACTCTTGACAGTAAAACAAATAGGTCTGTGTCTATTTCCCCAAAATATACTTTTAATATTTACAGAAATGTTTTTTAGATACTATCTCATATATAACAGAATTTCCAGCTTTCAGTTATCAGTTTAACACAAATGTTTAAACATTCGGCCCTCGTTTATTTCTCTTGTGACGGCTGTGTATTTAAAAGGCTAAAAGGTTGCAGGGTTTCCTTGGTTGCATTTAACATTTAAAAAAAGGAATAAATAAATACTGACATTTGGAGAAGATTAATAACTAACATTCAAAGCCTTTTTCTTGCTTCTCCCCCTGGGTCGTTTTAAGTCCAACATAATTGTGACTTTCAGTCAGTTGGTGTCCTCCAGTGTCCAGACTGCCATACTATATATATAATGTATATATAATATATAATATATAATGTATAATCAGCACAGAGCAGCGTTCAGAAGTAATATCAGGGGGGTGAAAACTGGAACAGTTCACTCAGAGTTTTTGTAGTTGGTGAAAAGGTTGTAGAGGACTCTGAGGGTGGACTTCAGGTTCAGGTTGACAACATCTGGAACACAAATGGGAGATAACAGACTTATTAGTTTGACAAACATGTTTTTAAGGGGGATACTGGAAGACATTTAGACCTTTGATGGTCACAAAAACTAATCTTTTAAAAGCTCCTTGAAACATTAAGCACAAAATAAATGAGCTTAGCTTCCATAAAATCCTATTGACAATGCAAAGGAGCTCTCACTGCGATTGTTGCTGTTGGACTACTTTCCTTTAAAGGTTATTTGTAATTTTAAGGAAATGGAGCTTAAAATAGCTCATCATAGATCATATGATGTATTACGTCGTACAAGGAGAGAAAAACACGTTCTGTTCCCTTCATCAGTAACATGCTGTACTACATAAGTGCTTATTGTAATATCTCATCACATGAAGTTCTAGGTTAAGTTATTCAAGCCAGACATCATTGTGTTACAGCTGGGTTATTTAAACTAAGATGCATTAAGCTCATTATTGTGCTTTTCGGATGTGTAATTAAGTAGATCATTTGTTTATACATAACTTAGAATCAGTCATATTTTTGTCAATCAATCAATTTGACACTGCTTAATTTTGTATAGTATAATAATTATCATGTTAAATTGTTGTATTATTGTTTTACACATTCAAAATAAATCTAATCAAATCAAAATTAAAAAATGGTCTGCATTTTGGGTGATACTGTTGATATCATTAAAAGCTTCTGTTTTTTAATATGAACCTGCTGATATTCAAAAGTCTTGGCAAACCATTTACTAATTAGAAGACTGGAGTATGAGAGTTGGAGCATAATATCAGTATGAAGATAATAACTATAATGTCTAATTATCGCAAAAACATTGTGTTTTGGTGTGAAGAAATGTTTAGTTTCTGTGTAGAAGGAAAACTCATTTGCATTTATACAGTGGAGGGAAACAATATTTACACATTTTGAAAGGTAGTCCATACTGGTTAAAGATGAATATATATTAATATATTAACAACATCCACAGCTGTGCAGTATAATACTTAGTTACCATCTCCAAGGACTGTGAATAGAGCAATTATAATAAAATGGAGATATACCGACATAGAAAAGAGGAAATGTTAAAGAGTAGTTTAAGCGGAATAAATAATAAAAACAAAGATCAAAAGCAAAAGCATGTGCAGTAAGTAGGAGAATATACTGTATATAAGTAAGTAAATTAAAACTGGGTTGCAGGATATTAAATATTAAGAAATATGGGACAAGAATGTGGAGCGAAATGTGAATATTTTAAGTAATGTAGCTCTGAGAATTATGTAAGAGAGTATTACATTGTACAGTATGTATATTTCATATTCCTAAATGAGGCATGCAGTATGAGGAGCCCCAGATATATATGGCTCTTACATTATATTACGGTCTGGGTGAATACTCAATTCTGATTGGCTGCAGGATGGCAACTGTAACACTGCAATAAGAACACTGCACCTCCTAACTTATTGATAGTGTTTATTACACATTCACTTTAAGATATGGATCTAGTTTTGTTGTTAAACATACAGTCAAAATGTATTTACTTTGAATTATGCAAGCACTAGGTTAGCTTTCAGGCTCATAGCGAGTGGACTAGACATATTATGGGATGGTAATGATGCTCCAGGTATTAGCCATACCCTCAGATGATATCAGGGAGTTAGGGATTATAAAACAACTTAACATTTTGATTATAAAAAAATCTATTAATGCCTTGCAATTACATTTTTCTGTGGCAAGTGACCATGATAAAAGCGGTTTTCCATTAGCAAAAATGAATGGACTCCGGCTCCTTTCCCGTCATCAATTAATTCCTGATAATGGACACTTGTCGGGCATTATCCCTCATATGCAGGGATTGTTTTGTGACAGAGAAGATTTCCATTCAACTGAACAACAACAACAAAGTGGAATATATTCTTCTACCAATATCAAATCCTGCGGCTTAATGTAAGTTACAGTTTCTGATTTAAATTTGAGTGCTTCAATAAAGCAAAATACTGATTACAGTTTAAGTACGTGATCAGTCAACTGTATTAGATCACGCTCTGAAAGCTATTTCTGTAATAGCATTTCCAACTCTACAGGGGGTATGCAGAGTCAAATGGGTAAATAAAATGCAAATATCTGCATCTCTATTAATAACCAACAGAAAAAGCAACAACTACATGACCCCAGTAATATTTTGATTCTTGAAGTATCAGCTTTAAATTATATTCTAAATTGTTTTATCCCAGGGCCAAATTAACTAAGTTTAAGGGTGAAGCAAGGTCTCCATCTACTGGACATCTTTTAATATGACAACCATTAAACATTGTTTTTAGAGGGTCTTTTCAGCAAGTAATCTAGGTCAGTCTCCATAAAGTCTCCTCTGGGAAATTGTCTTCTGATCTTGTAATTGTGTAACACATCTATAAAATACCTTCTGGTCTGGCTTTGGGTTTCTTCAGGCCTCCATCCTGCATCAGCTCAAAGGCAAACGCCACATTGTGGACCTGCAGGGTAACAACATGAAAACTCAATTCAGTGATGAGTTGCTAAAAGTCTTCTTTTTTGACTGACAATTTCCACTTTTTGAGTGTGTACTCACCTTCTGTTCGAAGCTCTCAGGAGTGAGGAAGAAGTTGAACAGAGGGACAAAGTAGTCTTCGAGCAGCCCCATCAGCAATATCAGATACACGCCATCAGCAAACTGGACACACACGGATATAAACAGTATTAATGTCTATACGAAAATTCACAGCAAATACAATATTAAACTGAACAAGTAAAACAGATTGGATTTGTATGCATGCACATTAAGTGATGATGAGAGGAATACAATAAAATACAATATTTGAAATAAAATTGTTAAATAACACCATTTTAATTTTAAATGGATCGCAAGGCTGCCATTTTGAATCGGCCCTCAGCAAATTCAAAAAGTAGAATGGAGTACGGCCCACAAATGAAACATGTGCTTGTCTTGTATTGTATTGTACTTCTTAAATATAGATTAAAACACATATTACACAGTAGTATTCATGTGTTAAGAAGCCCACTTTTCAAATAAATTCAGTCAATTAAAGCTGAAAACTAAAAAACGTATTTACATAACAAGCTTGAAATAAACTCTTCCTATAGGCCTATCCTCTTATTTTAAGCAACCTGAGGCTCCTGCTTTAAGGAATGAGCTGCTAACAAAATAAATGAAACCCTCTGGAGAGCTGTGATGTACAGTAGGCTGTCGTTTAAGCATCATTTACCTACATTTGATTGTTTTTGCTGACTTATAACTGCACTTATGAGGCTAAATACCTCTAGAGAGCGGCCCAGACCTTCATATATTTTTCTGTATGTGGCCCTCGGTGAAAAAGTTTGGACCCCCCTGCTGTAGATGAACTATTAAATCTCTTACCTGAGATTCCAGCTCAGTCACTTCCAGGTTCAGCTTGTTCAGGTGTTTGTTCACAAAGGTGATGAGAGACTGGAAACAGGATCAACAAACTGTTAATAGTTTGTAACCTACATTTTTATCACTGTACATTTTAATGCAAAGGAAATTTCTTTCATACCGTTTTCACCACGTTGAGCTTGTCAGGTGCGTGATCCAACAAAGTGTCAAACGCGTCCCTCTCTGTTGTGAAAAAATTAATAATTCAAAGGTTATGAATACTTAAAGGAACAGTACGACATTTTGGGAAATGTTAAGGTGTTAAAAAAGATGATAAGGTCAATACTACTCTATTATCTGTCATGTAAATATATGTATACAGCCAGCCGGTGGTTAGCTTAGCTTAGCATAATGTCCTGGAATAGCGTTATCGAAACGCAGTAATACTTCTTTAAGCAGGGAAATAAATAATGAGAAACAATAATTGGTAAAGGGATAATACTATAACAGAATGTGTCTCTTGCACTTACCAAATCTTCCCATCATCATTCTGGGAAAAAAGAGAGATACTTATTACTACAATATTCATTATAATACTTTAAATGACATCATTAATACAAAAGAAAGGACAGTTGAGGATACAAATATTTAAATATCAGCTCTTACTCTGTGGTGCTCGTCAGCTCCTTGGTCACAAGAGCCGTCTGCAGGATGCCTTCACGTTTCTGCTCAAACACAATCAAAACACTTGAGTTACTACATGACAGAATAACAAGAACTGTTGATTCACATTATGAAAATTAAATGTACAGACGACAGACAGATAATGAATGATGGCAAAAACTGACACTTTATCCGTCACTGTGATGTGTATCCTCATTATATTAAAGTTTGGATAGGTCTTTGTTATTCTTATGGTGTTTTGGGTTGTTTTGAAGTTACATTTTGGACATTTCTAAGATGAGAAGAAATGTTATTTGTGAATTTAAAGACAGATTTTTGTTAAACATTGAGGTATATTCTGAATGATATGTCTTATGTTGTTTCACTGTAACTCATTCATATAAGTTTATTAAGACATTCCTAATCTCAGTGAAGGTTAAATACAAGTTTAACTGAGTCAATCTTGCAAAAGAATCACACCAACAAATTGGGAAAGGGGCATGGCGTTGAATTTGACAGACATTAAAGCTAGTGTTAGTTCATGCTACAGTTGGTGTCCCCAAGAACCCATGCATACACACACAGAGACCCACAATGTGACTACAATAAAATACACCAGCTGTACGCTGTTGGGGCTGGTAATTAACTGAATCAAAATAACTATACAGCTCTGTATCCATCCCTATGTCACTGCACATAATGATAATGAATGTGAACCCTGTGTGAGCTCTTTGAGCCACTTTACCTTGACGACCACCACCTGCGCAGAAACATGCTCCGGCAGTCTGATCGGAGCCTGGAAGTGCATCGCCAGAGCCACCAGCAGGTAGACAATCGCCACCAGGTTCTTTGAATGGATAGCTGTGACAGTAAATCAAAGCAAAGGACTATAAAATCTTTGCACACTGCAAGATCATGGAAGAAAGCAATCTTCTAAAAATGTAACATAACTACCAGCTCTTATCAAGAGATATAAAGGTAATAAAGCATTTAATCGGTGAGCTCCAGCAGGAAATCCTAATGTTTGTAGAGCTTCTCAAAACCTGAACAGGATTAAATATGTTGTGTAATGCAAATCAAGAGATTATGTGTTCATGGGGGAATTCCAACAATTTAGCTAATTAAATTCAGTTGACTTGTCTCAAGGACACAGCCCGTAAAAACAGCTGTGCAATGTTTTTTGCAGTAAATTGGATTGAGACTTAAAGGTAGGGTAGGTAAGAATGGAGAAACCAGCTCGAGTGCGAAAAAAATCTGCCCCTTCTCCAACACACACGAACGCGCACATAACCAATGAGGGCACGAGATAAGTTTGTGCACAGATGGAAGGCTGACAGGCAGGTAGGCCATCCAGTTATTTTAGCCGGGCCGGCTCAGATGATTGGTCGTGCTTTTTACAGCGCCACGGCTTCCACAACGTTGAAAAACAAACCCTGCATTACAAAGTGGAGTTTTAAGGAGAATGTGGTATTGCGTTGTATTGTGAAAAATTGAATCTCCAATATTTAAGCTTGACCCATATTTCAGGCTGAAAGTCAAGAAATCTCGGCCTCTGTTTTGACTTTATTTAAAATGTCTGTCTCATGTAATTCTCCAAATGATGGAAGTGCTATAACTTAACCACTGAAGTAGCAAAGTAGCAAATCTCTAAAGTCGAAGTAAACTCACAGTCCACGCTCCACTCAATGGTCCAGCCATGAGGCCGCAGCATTTCGTTGACGGACTCCAAAACCGTCTGCAGCTTCTGCTTTTGGCCGATCTCGGACTGAGTCACCTCGGCCACGTTCAGCTTCCTGCCTGACAACTTTTCTGTCAACAACATGAGAGGAAATACTAGCTCAAACTCAGGGAAACACATCATGTATCATGGGACAGTGTTGTGATGTACTGAACAGGTCAACTGTAGACAAAAGTTACAGAAGAGGTTAAGTCCCAAAGAAGTGCAAAACAAAATGTTTTTGTTCGTTCCCGTACAGTATCAGTAGGCTTACCAGTTTTGTTTATGGGAAAACAAGGACATGGTGATCTTGAAGATGTATGTGGGGGCTTTAGACAACAAAGATTCTCTGATGCAAGCAATACAAAGAAGAAGGATTTATGGAGATCCTTTTCAACAATTTTTCATTTTCATTGCCAAAACCTCGCTTTAGCTTATGTGCATTTGACAACAAAGCCTATGCGTCTTTGGAAATCTAAAACAGGCACTGATGCAGCAAAAGACGGTACAGAAGGTGCAAAAGTAACGAAGAAGTGTGAAAACAACAACAGCCTTAAGAGAAATGAAAGAAATCACACGTCTCTTAACAAAATGTTTCCTGCTGTGTGTTTTAGTTGTTGTTCGTGACACTTCTGACAACATATGTGTCAGTCCTATTTGTATTACCTGGCTTCCGTAAATGAATATGCAAGTTCTTGTCAGGCTGCAATAATGATATTGTTACTATGCGACAATGACATTACATTATATTTATTTTACAGACACTTTGGTTTAAAGAAGAGCCTTTTTTCCAATCTACAGAGCAACACGTGTCGTCTAAAATGGCACTTTTGTAGCAGAAGGGGAAGATTTAACCCTAACCCAGCGTATATTGTGGAAATCTGAAAATGTTTTGCTCTTGCTGTTACACATAACAGACACAAGGGGGAAGCCACATACAGACTTTGAAGCTTTACGAGACAGAGCACCACCATAGTGAACACACATCCATTACATAGTTTTGGACAGGCTTTGTCATTCCATACGTTTTCCTTAATAAGATTTTCTCAAAATGTGAATGTTTAATAAAATAAAGTATTGGAATGACATCAGTGTGAATAATGGTGTCCCAGGGGTCAAATAAGGCTTTAATGCTTATTTGAGATAACACTATGTACTTTGATTGATTTTGGGACTGCTGCAAATGTACTTCTGATAATACAACCAATTAAGTGTTCTTCATTTTGCAGCTGGTAGGTGAAAACAGAAATGTAATCATATAGAATAAAATATTGAATTATTGTTGACTACTGGCAGCAAGTTTGTTGAAAAAGGCAATGTTTTGGTCATAGACTAATATCAAAAATCAAACTCAGAATATGAAACAAAAAGATATGTATACCAGAGCCACGGGCTGCATCAACAAGTTATTGCTTTTTGTAATATGTTTTACTTCTACGATTTCTGCAAGTGTTCATATTGTTGCATTGCAATTTAAAGACCCTACAGAATATGTATTGACAAAGATGGTTTGAGAGTTAGACTGCCAAAGAAACCAGTTTCTCACCAAATAACTTCTGGAGAACTTGTCCATCATAACAGTCCTCCTCCAGGTCTTTGACTATGATCCGGTCTTCCTCCAACTCACTGTTGATCCAGTCTATCAGGACCTGGATACAAATCACAACGCAAACAAATCTATTGTCTTTTATGTGCTTTTTTCTTCAAATTTTCATCACTGTGATTGTTCTGAAGAGATGTAATGCTTATGCATAAAATCCCAGACTACCTTCAGAAGATCTTTAAATTTAAGATTTTCCCGCGATGTTGGGTCCAACATGATCCTCTCTGCGTTTTCCTCTGGTGAGCATAATATGAGAAAATGAAGACACTTAGTTCAGAGTGACACTTAAATATCCTGTTTCATTTCACACACACCTATCTCCCCCTTAGACACATTTTGATCTCACATAAACACAAATGTCACAGACACACTCATACAATGTTTCTATCACTCTCACTTCAACAGTGATTCACACGGTGACTGAGGCGTCTCCCCTCCACCCACTTTCATTTCCTGCTGCTCAGATGTCGAAGTGCCCGTTAAGCACAAATGTGTCAACATATTCTGATGTTTCTCTATGACCTCAAGTTGATCATATTGGAAATGCAGATTCATCAACAGAGCAAACTCCAGTCATACTTTTGCACATTCAAAGAGATGTTTTAACATAAGATATTCTGTTTATATTCTAAATAGGACATTTAAGTGCATACTGAATGTGTGTGTGTGTGCGTGTGCGTGTGCATGTGCGTGTGTGTGTGTGTGTGTGTGTGTGTGTGTGTGTGTGTGTGTGTGTGTGTACCCATCAGTGTGTCCTCCGGATGGATTTCTGTCCCCGTGGGAAGCATGGGAGCGTTGATGGCATTCTTCCCCTCCTCATGGAGATCACTCACTGGTAAGACAAGAATACACACATAGACATGCACAACTAATTAGATAAAACAAATCAACAGAAAAATACTTGACATGGAGGCATACAGTGAGATGAGCAAGGAAAGAGTGTGGGACAGCAATAAATGGCATTAAAGAGAAAGCTTGTCAGAGTCACTGTTGCACAACCACCCAGTACCCTTGTGGGGAAAGTTAGGTGTTACTTTTGAATCGATTCTGAGTCAAATGTAGCCCCTTCTCCTCCTCTACAGACTCCACTTCAGTCACTCCACCACCATCTTCTCAATCAGTGACAGTCAAAGCTGACCAAAAGGACATTTCTAAAGGTTTCTCTGAATCAGTTTCACAGTCTGCATATGTGAGAAAATAAAGTGTTGTCATTTGAGTCAGCATGGGATGGGGCTGAAGACTAAGTTTGAAAAAAATATTGCGGGGAATTGAGTTAAAAGTGAGTCTACCAGTGCTGTGGCTTCTCTTCTCTGCTTGAGTCTAGCCACTTTATTAGTTTCATAAGACACTACGAGCATTTAAAATCCTGACTCTCAGAGCAATTTTTAAGTGGTTGAGTTGCATTGTGGGTAATGTAGGAGCTAGGTTTTGACAAGGAACAATAATGTATGGTATCTCTGGATCTGCTGCATCAATTTTGATCATTTTAAAAAGTCTATAATGAGTCCAACAATGTGATATGCGTGCAGTACTAAGTGGGCACGGTGCGCTTTTAAGAAACTTCTTTTTTAAACGTCATACTTGATTTGATGCCATAGAAATCAGAATCATAGTGAATTATTGTTGCTATGATGTATTTATTTAATTTGCGTTTGTACTTCACGTAGGAAAAGCTCATCAAAGTCTAATAGTTTGTAGTTAGAATAGTTTCACGCCCAATTCCACATTATAAGGTATTGTATTATAAAGTATATTACAACCATTCACTCGCCATCATGAACCATATTGTGCTGATAAGAAATCCTGCAAACAATGCACTGTTATCTAGCTGAGAGTTTTTGTAAGAAATGTTTATCCAGGGATTTGTAACTGCTGCTTGAGGGTCTGTCACTTATCTCCAACCATGTGAGACTCTTTCCTTTCCACCACAGATTGCCTTGGTGGGCGGCAGTCTCCATTTACGTTTATTTATCCAGTGTAAAGAAACTTAAAATGCATCCAAAGTGAGAATATAAAGTAAAACTGTAAACAAGAAAGCTGATTAAAGGTGACAAGACACAGGAAAAGTAACACACACTTGGCATTGAATAAAATCAATTTCCGCTGAGATGCTTTTACTTCTGACTGAAGAAACACTCAAGGGATTTAAAGGCTTTCTTCCACTAATGGCCATAGTGCTTTTATTATCCCACATTTCAATTAGTACAACCTGCAACTGGATGAAACACAATCAATAGTCAAGTCATTTCATTGACATTGCTATTTTTAACGTATGCAAGGAAAACCCAATTTGAGCTTACATTTGAACCGGTTTTTAAATTAAAAGCATGTAAAATAGCGTTTTCTAATCGGGATATAATGAGAGCAAGTCTAGGACTGTGTGTTTATGATGAAATCTCTACTTCAAAGCATGTACAAAGAGGATAAACTGTACATATTTACCCCGGGAGCAACGGTCCCCACAGATTTCCTATCTGATTCAGCCGTCCCATAAGAGCTGAATATCCACTATCTCACTGCAGATCAGCAGTTTGCTTTGTAATTACAGAGCAAGCTCGCCGCATTTCGTCATAATTGTGTTTCCTTTTCCCCCCGCTGTCCATTTGACCACATAACTGCTGCTGGCACTTCACACAGTCAAGTACAATCTGGTTTGAAATGGTCAAATTATACAATATCATTAATTTACTATGGCAAACCTCTGCAGAATGATTTATAAAAGTGAAAATATTTCCACTTGTCGGTCCAGAAATAAATCAAAATCTCTCACAGAGACACACACAATCTATTCCGTAGTGACTAATACATCTCGATGATCTCTACAGCAACATTAGTGGATATTAACCTACAGTGCACTAAGGTAAATCTCCTGCTTCCCCATTACCACTTCCAAGTTCCTCAAAGCTCAACAAACAAATGTACCTTGTTTCTTCCTCTTAGTCCCACACAACAGCCCCGCCATGTCTCTTCTATAAACCTCTTGATTCCCAACGACGGCGGTGAGCGAAGGTAGAAAGTGTCGTAGAGTGTGTGTGTATATGTGTGTGAATCGCAGTCGGTGGGACTGGGCAATGGCAGGGGCGTCATCACGTGTTTATTTCTGTCACAACCTTCCACCCCACGTCTGTGGTCCAGTTACAGGACATGCTGAGGGGTGTGTGTGTTGTGTGTATGTGTGTGTTTGGGGTGGGAATTAGGACCACACTGGACATAAACGCACAAACAGTGGACTGACAGACTGACTTTGAGAGGTAAAGTGCTGGCTTACCTTTCATTACATTCTATAGAAATGCATAAAGCATGGTGTAATTTGTTTTCTTAAATAAGTGTAGTCTAGTCATTTCACAGCAATCAGAGAATACACTTGTTAGCGTGGATAACTGAGCATGTAAATGGAGCCTTTTATATGTTTTGCTGCAGAGGATGATAAATCAGGCAGCAGCTGTAGTCCTGTTAACAGAATTACTCTAATTCAATACAAATCTAAGCCTGCAGTCAGAACATTTATCTTATGCCGGCTTCATTGCACAAATTAATGTCAAAAGCCCCTCAGAGGTTCCTTCAAACGAGCATGGGAAAAGACACAACAACATACGGTCAGCTTCTTCTTTGCTTTAGAGATAAATAAAATGTTCTAGATATAATCAGTGTGCATCATAAACAACAGCGTAAAGCAGATTGAAATCGACCTCGTCTTGTTTGGTTCCATTACTCCCGAGGGGGAGGAGGTTCACTGTGGCACATGGGAGTATAAATAATGCAGCAGTAAGGGGAAGGCAGACCTTAAATATAGCCGCTCTGGTTATTTACACCACAGGCACCAGTGAGTCACTGGGACTGTTCCACACGGGGCCTTTGGCTGAGAGGTATACACTCTTATTGCATCAAGCTAATAACACCTATTTGACATACTATTTTGTACATTTTGTTGTAATTCAATTTTGTGTCTTTATTGTAACCTTCTATTACCTATATTACTATTATACTATTTGTTTGTGTTTTTTTAAAGGATAGTAGGAGTCAAATGTTGTGTTGCTGTAATAGGTGAGGATTTTGAAGAAACATATGTGCCAATATTCTTCTTTTATTACGTTTTTCTTTTTCATTCAACAAATAACAGACACAAACTTTTTCAAAAGTTGCCTTTTAAATGTTCTTAAAGTGCACCTATCATGCTATTTGTAGGCAATAGCATAGGTCTCAGATATATACAAATATATAAAAAACATGTCTGTGAAGTGTTTTGCTCAAAATACCAAACAGATCACCCATACTAGCCATGCCTCATATCCCTCTATTTCACTTCCTGTTTCAAAAGTGCTGATCTGGGAGGGGGCTGAGCTCATGCGGGACCCGGCAGCTACTGTCTAAACTAAATACTGCCGTGATGAAACGCCATATCATGGATTTTCAAGGATTGTTTCTGAAACAGTTTGGAGCTCAAAGGCTTTCTCTCTTGCCGGTTATACCTCAAGTTGAGTTCCTTTTGATTTCCTGCTTCTTCACACACATGCTCTGTGCAGTGCAGGTTAGCTCTGAGTGTTAGCGATGCTAATGTAACCATATTACAAAACAGTCGGGCATTGTTTCTGATAGCAACGTTTCTGATAGGGCCGTGGGTGTAAAGCCAGTCTACATTTCCGATATTACGTCATATCGGACGCAAATCTGGATCAGCTCCGTTGTACCCCCGTTTTTAGAGATTTGGGTATGGAGGAAAAGAGAGAGGGTTTTATTTTCTGATGCTGCGTGAGTTCCCTGACACACCGGGGACACATATTTATGTATAAAAGACATCAAAAAGGGCATTTTGCATGATAGGACACCTTTAAAATGAGTTTTTACGAATTTTAGCCAAGATATGTGTTGGCGGGTAAATTCACTGTTAAAAAATATAGAATCTTGAATACATCATTGACAGTTGAGTACTGCGATTTCTTGTTAAAATATCACCCCACATACTGCAGCAACAATTGCTCATAAGGTACTGTTTGCCACTACATTGGCAATATAATGAATTGACTTGAGTTGACTTTGTATAAATATCAGTGAGTCTCTTGGATAATGGCTTCTAATATAAGAAAATATTTTAAAAAAATGTGAAGTATTGGTCATACAATATGATGATAAATTGTTAAAGCAACAATATGACATAATGAAGAGCAAAAGACACAAAGCGACGACAGTATAAACAAATATATTTTGTATCTTATTTTGGTTTGATTTGACATCAGATGAATGCATTATATATTAACTAATGCAAAAACGACTCAAGTCTCCTTGTGTTGGTAGAAGTAGCAACAACAACAACAATAAGTACGTAAGTATGTAAAAAAGGTTAAACAGCAACAACAAATAGATGACTTACTATTATCAGCATCCATCCTGACAATTGTATCTTAGTCAGTTTGTATTTTCAGGGTGTAGATACTCTTCTCTCTAAGATAGCGGGATGTGCCCTAAAGTTCATCCTCTCAGCCCTAAGAAAAACAAAACGTGTTTTTTTCCCTTCAATATACTATCACGGTTACAGCCTGTTGCTGACAGAGGGAGCTGAGCCTTGTCAGAGAAAAGCAGACTTCCTTTCAGTTTATCAGGATATACAGAGAGAGCCATGACCATCCAGTATCTCTGAAAACTGAGTCTGCAGGAATCTGGACTTTAAAAAAAAGTCCAGTCGCCTCACCCTCAAGCAACACTTACTACTACATCCTATTTCTTCTACCACAAGAAGGAGAGTATGGTTTGAGTGTTTAATACTGAACTAAAAACATGTAAATGTGGTTACTAAGGGGTGTCAGCACATTGTAGAATATGTCATTAGTACGCTATTAATGATTATTCAGCAAATGTGAAGCAACTGTTCCAGTGGCACCTCGTCTGTCTTGGGTGTTCCTCTTAAAGAATAAAGAGTACCACACCCAACTGTAACATAAACCACAGCAGCAGCTCATGAGACCACAAGCTGTGGACTACACCTCACACACATGTCTATTGTTTTACTGATTTATAACAATAACATCACTAAGAGCTTATAACTTTAAAATTACATTTTAAAAGCTCGCTCCAACAAGTCCTCCAATGTATACAACCAAATAGGTCAGTTGAGGTTAAATCCCCTTTCACCACACAGGGGCACTGCACTCCCACAAGCTGCACTGAAACACTGGCTCTGAGGCTAAAGGAATCCCTTCTCACTGCACAATGTATTCCCTGCGGCAAGGAGCTAGAAGCATGTTGGCACCATTAAAGGTCCCCTAATATACAGTTATTCATCAATATATTATAGGTCTCAGATAGATACAAAACATGTCTCTGAAGTGTTTGGCTGGAAATACCAAACATCCCATAATCCCCTCTGTTTCAGCCCTGTTTCCAAAGTGCTGATTCTCTGTCTGTTACTTTAGATGAAAATAAGGAGCCCCTCCCCACGCCCCTCTGAGAGAGATTTGGTTAAAAAGAACACAATGGTGCTCTAGGAGGAGATTCAGGTGATCAGGTGGTGGAAAAAACATTATGACATCACAAAGTGGCCAAAATATGATCAGCTCATTTTCAGACAGGTTTTTATATAAATGGATCAGGACAAAAAGAGAGAGAATCTCTTTACACAGAGGGGACACATGTTGATGTATAAAAGACACGAAAAAGTGGATTTTGCATAATAGGTGACCTTTAAGGTCTAGGGACCGAGGGTTGTTGTATAGGTAAACTGGAGGTGGACAATTAAAGGAACAATTATAGATTTATGTTGTACATTTTATACATATTAGCAGATAGGGACCCTCCGGTCACAAGTTTTCAATACCCCACTTTTACCTATACCTCTATGCTAAAGTTAGCGCCAGAATTACGGTTAAGGAATTGTGGCTCAACTGTGACATGTTTCATGCTCAAATGCTCAAAAAGTGTTATTTTTTTCTCTTTTCTTTTCACCCTCTGTCTGAAATGAGATCCCAGCCTGCTCTGATTGGTTGGATGGACGGATTTACATTACATTACATTTAGCTGGCGCTTTTATCCAAAGAGACTTACAATAAGTGCATTCGACAGACAAGATACAAACTTGAAGAAAACAGAATCATATAAGACATCAGGTTTCATAGAGCCAAAACATTTCAAGTGCTACTCAACTGGCTTTAGATAAGCCAGTCCTTTATTAGTATATAAGTGCTTTGTTGGAAATTCTTTGTTAGTAATTCTATCGCTCGAAGTGGAGTCGAAAGAGATGAGTTTTCAGTCTGCGCCGGAAGGTGTGTAAGCTATCTGCTGTCCTGATTTCAATGGGGAGCTCATTCCACCATCTTGGAGCCAGGACAGCAAACCCACGTGTTTTTGCTGATGGGAACTTAGGTCCCCCTCGCAGCGAGGGTGCAGCGAGTCGTTTGGCTGATGCAGAGCCGAGTGCACGTGCTGGGGTGTACGGTCATGTCCTGGATGTAGGAAGAGCCAGATCCATTCGCAGCATGGTAAGCAAGTACCAGTGTCTTGAAGTGGATTCTACCGGAAGCCAGTGAAGGGAGCGGAGGAGCGGTGTGGTGTGGGAGAATTTAGGAAGGTTGAAGACCAGACGAGCCGCTGCATTCTGGATGAGCTGCAGAGGTCGGATGGCACATGCAGGTAGACCAGCCAGGAGGGAGTTGCAGAAGTCTAGGCGTGAGATGACGAGAGCCTGGACCAGAACCTGCGTCGCTTTCTGGGTCAGCTGGGGACGTATCCTCCTGATGTTGTAAAGCGTGTATCTGCAGCGGATCTGTTGTGATTTATGATCAGCTCAGAGATGTCCCGCCCCTTAGCCTGACACGTACAATGTGTTGGAGATAAAAAGTTCCAAAGTGATGTCACTATGTTGAAGAAGTAAACAAAGGAGTTCAATGGAGGCGTTTAAGGAAGGAGGGGGAGTGTGTGGGAGAGAAGAGAAACTTTGGGATTCTAGCCTTCGCAGACCATTTACATGCACAACAACGAATATAACACAGGCACACAAAAAAGCATAATATGGCCTCTTTAAAATAGGGCAACCAAGACCACCTGTGCTGACATATTCAGTCTTGAAATACGGACGGCTAAACAATTATAAAAGGAAGAATCAAATATTTTGGGAAATCATGTTACCATGGGGCTCGTCGATGAATAGATTAACAAAATGAGTCAGAGAATCAGCTAAGTGACGAGTTGTTTCAGGTCTTATAACTGTGAAAAAAACTGTCACACTAAATTTGGCAGTTTGATTAAGAGATATCAAACGGTTTAAAAACCTCTTCTTAAAATAGGTGGAAGCTCATGTCTTTTTAGATGAGATGTGTGGAGTTTAATGAGGCTCCTGAACAATTATTAGGTCTATATCCTCCTACTGGTGGGCCTCCTTTAATGGAGATTACAAACACATGGCTGTGAGCACAAACACAGGAAAACACACACACACGTTAAACCTTGCAGCTGTCTGTTTTACCGCACAGTGTGTGTGGCCCAAGGGAGGGCAGAAAATAGTTTGGCCAACTGGAAAAGTAGGATAATAACACAGGGGGGGGGGGTTGATAAAACAAAGTTTAAAACAGTGACCCTCTTACACCTTATCTTCATAACTTGGCATTCCTGGCACCACTTATGTATCTTTATGATCTATTTATGTCCATTGTCTCATGGAAAATGCCTGTGGAGTTGTTCAGAGGAAATGCTCTCACCTCTCAAACACTTCCAAAGAAGAATCGCAATTACAGTAAGGCTCAGTATGTTAGATATTGAACCTTTAATGAATGTTGACACAATAAGCATGAGGTTATAAATCCATAATAAATCAAATTAAAAAACAAGGATACAACCATAAAAGGATACATTTAGGAAACCGAAACACTATAGCCTACTGTAGATGTCTTTTCATATGTTGTGTGGAGCTCTGCATGATTTGAGTGCTCTGATTCCCAGAGGGGGAATATTTTAATAGCCCATCATGTGATTGCAGCACCATGGACAGAAACCCCAAAAGAGAACCAAGCAGGATAAAGGCCCTTTTTTAATATAAAAAAACAACTTACCTTCTTTAGACTTTTTCTTCCGAACCAGAGTTCCTCCTAATTTCCCCAGGAAAGACTCGTCCTTTTTCATCTTTGCGGGCTGCGGGGTCGCAGACATCTTTCAGTATGATGCGTTTGTGTGCTCTCCCTTTATGTCTGTTAATATTGTCACTGCCACAGATGTATAAATATGGTCACTCCTCCCTGTGGTGCGTTCAGGGCACCGCTGTACAGTAAGATCCAGCAGATACAATCAGGCAGACAACAGACTGAGGAAAGCAGAGCCGGTGGGGCATCAACAGACCAATGACTCTCATGTGAGGAACAGCTTCATCTGCTCCATGTTTACCGACGGGTCGTCATCCCACAGCGCCCCCTACAGGCAGGACTAGGAACAGGGGGTTTCATAGTCTGGTTCTTAAAAATAGACAGTATTATCCTAAGAAAATATACTTTTATCTAATGTTATACATGACCATAAATAGAGAATGATTAAGACTAAATAAACTCACCTCAATCGGAGCTTTTCAAAAGCTGAAGACTAAAATGAAAATCCTCTAACTCGTAAATGGACCTGTGAGCATTGAATTCCCTTAAAAGTAGTGAAAGAAGTATTTAGTTCTTTAGAATCAATTTGCATTTCTACACGACGAAGATACTCAAGTAATAGTCCTGCATTCAAATTGTACGTGATTGAAAATCGATAACAATTACCAGAAATGTACTTTATAATAAAACTCACCATGCAGAATGGTAAACTGAAGAAACTGTGAAATAAATGTAGTTTCTCAGAATTGTAACATCCTTAATTTGTCACTTTTACGAAATGAGTAAACAGTAATTGACTGTATCATAATCAGGCAACAAATAAATGAGAAAATGTTTTGACAGAGAGATTTGAGAAAAATATAAAGAAATAAGAAATCTGTTTTTGAAATGCAGAGAGATACAAAATAATCACAATTGTATCACAACACAAACCGGTATTGTATTATATAGTATTCAAAGATGTGAGTGATGTTAATAACAACTAACAAGATAAATAACATTTTTTAATTTAGTTTGAGTTGTTAATCGTAAGCACTACAAATTAAGTTGACAATCTATCACGAGGTTCATGTACATCTGTTTATTTAAGAGGCACAATGGGAATGATTGAAGTTCTGTTTGGACAATAAAACCTTGCAAAAATACAACATTTGATCAACACCTTTGATTGACTTGCTTCAACTGATTTCTTTACAAAAATGTAAGGAGCAGGATCGGCTTCAGTGCTCATCTCCTCTTCCAGTTTCTGGTGCTGTTTTAGGAGACAAAGTTGATATTAATAAAGTACAAGTCATTTTGAACTCTGTTGGTGTCACATTATGTGTCATGTGTATTTATGATGCTGCTGTGATTCACCTGTAGTCTGCAGCAGCTTCCAGTGCACCTGCAGTCTGGTTCTTAATCTCTCCAACGCCTCCACGTCCTCCGGTAGAGGAGCAGGAAGCTTCCCCAGGGAGGGGGCCGCTTCCCCCAGGAGAGAGGAGGCGGTGGGGCCGACACATACACTCTCACCTTCCTGAAATTATAAAAAATAATTACATACTGCTATTTAAATTTCCCGCAAATTAACAGTTGTATTTCCACACTATCAAGGATTCATTTGGCATTCATTGTTAGGAAGTTTATTAAAGCTTAGGAGATTTCAGACACAAAAGCAATTAGGTAGATTTAAGAGGTGCAGGGGTATACGATCTAATGACCTTGGAAAAAGCAGTGGCAACAATATAAGTTTTGAGCTTCAATTTAAGAGAAAAAGAGTTATGGTGGAAGTCAACTTTTCTCCGTGTTCTGCAGTGAATACAAACTGAAAGCTTCTTCTCCATGTTTGGTTCTGACCCTGGGGACTGAATGAAACTCTGTCCCAGTCTGTACTTTTATCAAACCTGCTCCAGCCTTCCTTACCTGCATCAGCACCAGTGTGTGTCCCTGTGCGAGGCCCTGCAGCAGGCCTGTTAGTTGTTGCCAGGCTCCGTCACACAGCCCGTCGTCTGGAGCCCGGACCAGCAGGACCAGACTGGGGTCATACTCGTACCCCAGAGGCAGGAGGAGGCCCAGCACAGCCTGCATGAAGCCGGACACATCCCTGCAGCCCTGTGGGGGGGACAGACAAACACACACAGGACGTGTTCACATGCGTCATATAACAAACATATAACATATAACAAACACACACACGCAATACTTCAATATATAGGATAATTACTTAAATACTCCAAAGTACATTGTGAAATCTCAACCTCGGGGTCAGAATGTTGAAGCAATGGTGAAATGTGTTTTATGGCCAAAACCTAAAACAGTATATGTTTACATTAAAAGTATATAGGGTTAAACATTTAGTTATATTACTTAGACACATGTTGGCCACAATAGCGTCATGTTGACAATATAACAGAATTATCCAGATTATCGTATCCATTGCTACAGATGAAGTACAGTACCTTCTTCAGACACACAGGAATATGATATTTGCTTTTCTGTTCCTCTTCCTTGTTGCTGAAGTGCACCAGGAGTGTTTTCCTAAAGATAGAAAGATTTCTGTCATCATCTTTGGGACAAATGCTTTTTTTATTTGCTCAAGAGGGACAAGTTGTATCAGAAAGTTATATTCAGGGACACAGAAATTATATTTACCCATCCTCTCTGTGATGAGTTGGGACCACCACGTCTCCAACACATACAACCAACACCCTGCATGAAGAGAACGTGGGAACAAGTTCATTAAATATGAAGCTATTCAAGTTGTTTTTAAATAAACATTCACTGTACATAATGGATTAGATCCACATTGCTTTACCGGTTGCTGAGAGCAGTTGCAGCATGCTGGACAACACACGTCATCGCCATGGTGACGTTGTGGACCAAAGCCAAGCCATTGCAGATCTGCAAGGAGGTAATTAAACATAATGGCATCAGCTTGGAGCAGATCACATCCTGGCACTCAAAGAGACAAATAGTATCCAGACTGTACCTCATTCCTCTCCATTTTCTTCACGAGGGCAATAAGACAGGAGAGGGCTGGGAGAGCATCGCTGTCATCGTTAGGGAAATTCTCCCTTATTGTGGAAGAAAGTACACGTTTGTGTACAAATCAAGATGAAATGATGATTATAGATATTGTTTTGAATTCATCTCTTTCTCTCATAAACTCATTTTGTGCCATATCTAAGAAATGAAGTTGATTATGATATAATGTTACCTGAGTTTGCTGGCTGTGACCGGGTCATCTGATGAGCTGAAGAGTTCACACCCCTCTGGGCAGGACACGCCATCAGGGAGGACTGAAGCTGTGCGGACAGGAGCAGGGACACGTCTCGGGGGCTCGGGCCACACCTCTTCTTCTGCACTTTTCTTCTCTTCTCCATTCTCCACTTTTCCTTCTTCTTCTGCTAATTTAGGACGCTTTGTGCTGACATCAGAGGTGGGAGGCTCAGCTGGAGAAAGACGAAAGAAAAGCGGTGAAAAGTCCAAGTTATGTCTGATTGAGCCTTCTAACAATATGCACCTGAATCTTAGACCAAACTGTCAGAAGCCATGTTGAATTGTGGGTAAAGTAGGTTCCCCTTTTAAGGAATAGCTCTAAAAGAATAATGTGGATGTTATACCTGCGTGTTTGAGGCAGGACCAGTACTTCCTGTGAGCCGATCGGCTACAGTGGAGGGACTCAAGTGCACTGAGAAAATAAAAACATGTATTCAATACAGTTAGAAAACACACTCACACATGGAACATCTAACTGACGACCAGGCCCACCTTTCACAGGGACCATCAAGGTTTGCAGGTCGAGGCGCAGGATCTCCGAGCAAAGTTTGAACAGTTTGACACACAGACTGGGGGAGGGAAGTCAAGTTGTATCCTCCCTGGAACAAAGCACATAATAAACATTTCACAACAGCATTTCCCCTCCAACAGGATGGTAGCAATATGCAGGACTTCCCCTTGGCTATGAAGAGTAACATAAATATGCACAAGCAATACATGTATTAATAGATTAGAGACTTGGTTAATGGGACAAACAACAAAACAACTAATGTCGTCTCCAGGAAAGCAGGTGTTAGTGAGTAAGTGAAAACGTTTTGTATGCATGTGTTGATATTCAGTGTGTGTGGCCTGACCTCCAGCACAGCACACAGTTTCCCTCCGGCCAGGTTCATCAGGAGATGAGTGAGGTGGGCAAAGATGTCCGGGCTGGCACACATTTCACCCTGAAAATAAAGAAGAAATCTAAATATGTTTAGTCAGACAGGGCACAGGGTTTTACAGCAGCAGTGTTTCCCATACATTGATTCATTTGTGGCGGGGAATCTCATAAAAATAATTTAAAAAATATATTATTGTTTTCTTGTTTAACCTTTTTGTTTTTTTGGTGGTCTAATGGATAGTGAGGTGGGCTGATGATCGGAAGGTTGCTAGTTCAAATCCCGCCTGGAACACCACTACTAGTGTGCCCTTGAGTAAGGCACTTAGCCCGCAGTTACTCCAGGGAGACTGTCCCTGTAATTGGTCATTGTAAGTCGCTTTGGAATAAGGCGTCTGCTAAATTGTAAATTATATTTTTGGGAGAATAAAGCCCACAGATCCTCAACTCCGGTGTGTCTCACGCATTAACAACGCAACACAGAGCAACAAGAACGTTGTCTGCTACAGCAGCCATGAACTTGCATGTATTTTCTTATTTGAGGGGGGGGGGCGGTGCGGTGCCCCCACAAATAGAATCAAATGTTGTGGGAAACACTGAGCAGTCACATTTCATTAGATGGAAGAACAGGACATGAGTGCACACACATATCTGCTTCATTATTTCATTTTCTGTACCTCTGGGTCGCCGATGGCCGAGTCAAAGCCTGCACACACCAGGACCAAGTCGGGATTAAACTGTCATAAAGAATGCAGAATGATTAATATATTAACATTCATTTAATATCACACATCAGTATCTGTTAGCTAAATGGGATTTCTTTCAAATTGGCTTACCTCGTATGCGACTGGCAGGAGCATGTGACAGAAGACTGAGAGATAGTCACTGTTCTTCATTCCCACCTGAAACATCACAATGGGAAACCATTATAAAAACATTCAAACGTAAAAGCTCATTTGAAATCAGTAATAAAAGGGTTTTTATGAGATTACCCGCCACAAATGAATTCGCTATTCAATAACTGGATTAAATATTTTTAAATCAAGCTCAAATAAAACAGCAATATTTTCAGATTTCAGCTTTTAAAAAATCAGTAACGCCGCTTGTTTGTTTGATTGTATTACCATTGTTTTTTACCGGGGGGTCAGACAAAAAAAGCAATTTAAAAGACCATGTTGCGGACTATTAACGTATGATAAGAGTTCATTCTAATTTAAAAAAAATACATTCAATAATTATTTGATTAACCAATTTAGATGATGGATAATTAACTTAGTTGCCATACTTTTCTTGAATTGTATACAGAAATTAATTGCTATTATTGTTTCACTTCTCCTTCAACTTATTCTCTCAGTAAATACAAAAGATAAAACAATTAATGCGGCCTAGCAAATTAAAAACTGTGACTTTTAAGTATTTCTGTGGTTACTTACTTTGTTCCACGGCACATTTATATTGAATCCCTCTCCTTTCTCTTTGCCAACATTGTCGTAGTCGGATTCTCTGAGTTGAGGCCAGAATTTCTGATGCTCGTAGCGGTGCCATGAGAAGTAGAGCACGCTGCGAGTAACAATGTAGTATGCATCATTTATAATGATAGAGGAAAACATCCAGATAGCAATTCAGGTCCTTCACTCAAGAGGAATGACTCACCTTGGATCATCTTCAAAAGAGTACTGCACCCCTTGGCCGTGATGCACATCCCAGTCAACTATCAACACCCTGGAAATATATTTTAAAAAGTAAATACGTATATTTTGGCCCAATTTATAAAGAAGATCTTGAATGGATTAACCAAGTGATACCTTTTAACCCCATATTTCTGCTTGGCATAGTGAGCTGCTATGGCCACATTATTGAACACACAGAATCCACTGGCAGCACTGCGCATACTGTGGTGTCCGGGTGGTCTGTGAAATGAAAGGAAGGGGGTTTACGTGTCAGGGTGTATTTGCAGGAATTGATCATCATTTAGCCAATACAGAAAACGAAAGCCTGATGACATACAAACGCTTAGTATTAGTTTATTATGATATTAAAAGTAGAAAAGGAAGTCAATTTATGAATCTGAGAAGCTAAAAAAAGAATAGCTGGTATTTGGTAAAGGCTGCCTTAATGACATTCAATCTTAGAATCCCATTACCATCTTTAAAAGTGTATTAATGTCAACATCCTCAAATAGATCAGATAGCCCTGATTTACTAATTAGCTGATTATTCCACAATATTCTCATTTACCATTTTTTAATTAAGAAAATATTGTAATGAATACTTTAACTGATTGTTGTTCACGTTTCATCCCAGCTGTTCATATTATAATCGATTTACTTAGTGAGACTGTGCAGAAAGTGTTTAGTTTGACATGAAACATTAGTAAAAACATTGTCTAAATCCTCAGAGATATGATCAAATAATGACATTCCTATCAATACATGGACTAAACCTTTCAGCATTCAATCTGAACAAAACCATCAACCGTACAAGAGATAGACTCATACACATGAATTGTAGCATCAGCGTTAATATCAGCTTGTTCTCTCACCTGACCAGAGCCATGCCGTTCCTCACCTTCCCCGTCATCACACTGTCCACCAGCTGCAAAGAGGCGCCTGCAGCCAGCTTGGCACAGTGATAGATGTTCTAGGACAGAAAAAAAGGAGTATTAATTAGATATACAAAAATAATAATAATAGCTACCACTCAGTAAGAAAAAGTATGTTTCCGACTTACTGGATGGAAGTAGACGTCCCCATACTGCAGGGTCAACTCCTGCAGGTCCTCCAGAGTCATAAAGGGGGTCTTCTTCACCGCCTCCAAGTACTCCCTCACTTTTAAAGTAGTAAAGCACATAGCTGAGTGGCTTTGGGATATTATGTCAGCCTCACACAGAGGAAAGAGGCAATGACTGACCTGTGAACCAGCAGGATGTCTTCATCCGTTGCCTCGCGGACAGGTACAGAGACGCATCGATCAGCAAGACCCGAGTTTTTCAAAGCTTCATAACTCACTATCAGACGCTCAGGTACCTCGATCTTACATGCAGGGCTGGAGAGAAAACAAATCTAAATTATATTCCATGTAGTATGATATTAAGATTTCTATTTTCGTGTTGTTTTGATCTGTAACTCAACATCATTTGTACATGTCTTTTTGTCAGTAGTGGTTAAAACATTTCTCTTTAACACCTATTGTGCACAGGCATCCTAAAATACCAAGAAGAAAAAAATGGGTTGAAATTAAGCTCAAAACAATTGGATACTACCCTGACTAATACAAATACAAAATGTAGTACAGTATTTAAAAAAACAAAACAAGATGAATTGGGGCCGGAAATGCATATAAATGTGTGTATAATAAATGTGCAAAAATTACCATATTGCAGACACAAAGAGCCCAATACCTCCTTAAACATGTGGCTCAACAGATCAAGCTAGTTTGAATAATAAAATGCTAATTGTCCATAAACTTGCACTACATTAACATAGCAATAGGAGACAGAGGAAAGATGAGAAAGATATTTTAGAACTTTTTTTTTTTTAATAATAAATACTGATAAGATGAGGGTGCTCCTCAATAACCACCCCGGCTAGCTACAACAAACCGCAACTCTAGTTCCTACCATTACTTGAAGGCACAAACGAATGACTTATCTGAAGTAACTAGTAACCATTTCCTGCACTCTGTTTAAAACCCTTTGGAGTCCAGGGCTAATTTGGCCTTTTTCGCATACTTTTGATTTGTCTTACTAAACCCCATTAAGAAATGTTTGGCATGTCAATGTTTGGTATCTTTTTTTTAAAGGACAACCTCACCTATATAACCTGATAGTTATTTCTGTCATTTTGAGATACTATATGAACATTTTGGACCCAAAATCACAAAAAAAGTAAAAACAGATTTTGATAGGTAACACAAACATACACAACGAAACCATTTGAAAGCTGGACATATATACATGGGATGTCACTATGATAATGTGAAAGTTTGATTGAGGTAGCATGAACCTATATACACATTTTATGAACAAATAACAGGTGTATAGGCTTTTTTCCCTCATTTCTCAAGTTCTGTCAACAGTGACACAGTAGGCACAAAACATTTAAAAGCTTAAATAATGTACATGTGATTTCATTCTGATATGGCAAAAGTGTTATTATAAATATAATACAAATATATATATATACACATGATGTACAGAAATCTGTTTTTTCTGTCTTTATCTGTGCCACGCTTCAAAGCAGTTTCAGTCAACTACGACACAGAGGGCAACATCACAGGCTCCTCCTCCTCCTCCATGTCAAAAAACAAGCTTATAGCTTGACTCACGTTCAGAGTTCTCTTCATTATAGTTGAATCTTCAAAACTCTAAATCTATCTAACTATATCTAAATTCTCAATGTGTGTCTGTCACTTTACTTCAATCGCAGTCTCCCGCCGTCTCTCTTTGTCTCCCGCCGCCTGTCTTCGTATATCTTCGTCTCTCTCCATTTCCCGCCGTCTCTCTTCGGTTCCCGCCGTCCCTCTTCGTCTCTTTTCGTATCACTCCGTTTACCTGATTACCTCACCCCCTCCCTGGTAAATACATCCTGTTGAGCAGAATCTACAGTTTCCAGTATTTTCCGTTTCGTAAAATGATAAAATACGGCGAAGATATTAAATATGTGCTTCCATTATTCATACTTTTAAAATAGTAGTATTAACTTTATATCATCGTATCTCCGTGTTTATTGGGTCTTTTTGCATGAAACAAAGACTGGCATATCGTTTCAAGCCAGTACTTTCGACAGAAATACACATATACATCCTGTTGAGCAGGATCTACAGTTTCCAGTATTTTCCGTTTCGTAAAATGATCAAATACGGCGAAGATATTCAAATATGTGCTTCCATTTTTCATACTTTTGAAATGTATTAACTTTATATCATCGTATCTCCGTGTTTACTGGGTCTTTTGCATGAAACAAAGACTGGGATATAGTTTCAAGCCAGTACTTTCGACAGAAACACACGGCAATGTTGTCCGGACTGTTGTTTTTATGCGACACCGGCTTGAACAGGTCATGTGATCTGATCACGCCGGCGTGACGGTCGACTCCAAAGGGTTAACACACATTTACTAACCAGTGACACCCTTTGGACTCAGAAAGATAACGTTACATTCACACACGTTGATTAACCAGTAGCTAGCTAACGTTAGCCGAGGCAAGCTACAGTAACTTTAACAAACAAACCACTTTATATATAAGCATAGAGACATTGTGTCTTACTCCTGTCATGTCGATTACTTACTCAACCCAGAGCAGTTTGTATTTGGTCATCTCCTCATCGTAATCAATGCTGTTCCCATCTTCAGTACTTCTCGGACGAGCTGCAGCACTATGACAACAGTGCAACTTTCTGTAAGTTAGAAACTGTTCCTAATATAAGCGGTGCACGAATTAACTGGACAGAGAATCAATGAATTAAGCTGCTGTTATCAGACTTTCACCGTAATGTGAATAGTTTACCATAAACTGTAGTTTACTGATAGCTTTTTCTTTCTGCATTGAAAACAATAGAGGGTTTCTCAATACTTAAATATCCCTTCCTCGACTCCCCTCCTCGAGACTTGGTGCCGCCCACAGGAGATGCGAGCAGGAGGACTGAGGAGGGGTACCGAGGAGAGAGAAGTGGAAGCAGCAGGCGGTTAGAGAAATGAGAACTCCTTGTCACTACCCGATCTGCAGCTCTTGCCGATCTGCAGTGCGCAATGTGCGAGATGGTCCGCCATATTGGACAACTCCGACGGCAACCCAAGTAGGACAATATTAACACAGTGGCTTTGGCCAAAGCTCAAAAGGAAAACTCGAGAGAGATGAGTTATTGTTATTACAAACGTGACTTTCACTATTATTTAACAACTCTTTTTATTGGGTTCTTTTATTTGGGGTTAAGTACATTGTCAGAATAAGTGAGGAATGAATTTTAACTTCTTAGACCTATATGCCATACATTTTTGCACACATTCACAGTAAATATGTATTCAGTATATGATAGCTGTCTAACAGAAGTTAAATGCATTCCTCACTATTCTGACAATGTACTTAACCCCAAATAAAGAACCCAATAAAAAGAGTTGTTAAATAATAGTGAAGTCACGTTGTAATAACAATAACTCATCTCTCTCGAGTTTTCCTTTTGAGCTTTGCCAAAAGCCACTGTGTCAATGTTGTCCTACTTGGGTTGCCGTTGGGAGGTGTCCAATATGGCGGACCATCTCGCACATGCGCACTGCAGATCGGGCAGAGCTGCAGATCGGGTCCTCTGTGCGGTCATTTTAAAGAGACGTCCATTAATGATGACAGGAGGCACAGCAGCCCTCTGTCTGATGGACAGATGTGTATCATGATGACTTATATATTTACTTGTAATTCATTCACAGTGGGGTATAATGAGACAATAACAGGGCATATCACACACACATATGTATATAAATATATACAATTTCAGAATCAAACAAGTATGAGAGCACTCTCATAATAACGTGACACAATCAGAGACCTGGGATATACCCCCCCCCCCCCCCTCTCTCTGGTCGCTGAAATGGGGAATTGAAATTACATGCCAAAAGTTGTTACAAGTATTCAAAGTAAGCATAGGACACCAAACCAACTGATACCCGTCTGTCCGCCGCATCTACGCACTGTACAACACACACCTACACACTGTACCACCACCTACACACTGTACCACACACACCTACTGCTCCTAAAACATAATCAGGCTACAGCCGTTGTGTATTTTATTATGTGAAGCACTAAATGGTCTTAGAAAAATATCGACTCTTTGTTTGTAGATATCTACTAACTACAGCATACAAAATACAGAAAGTAATGTAGGCCTGTTATACTGAGTGATATATATTTTACACACTGCTCTGCTTCTGCACGGACCTCTCAGCTGTTCGCCTGGTAAACATCGCGACGCGATGAAAGCAGTTACTAATAATATCCAAGGGATGCATGCAGAGCCTGTCATTGGCTGAGATAAGTCCGGCCGTGCGTCACGCCTCCACTGTTCCCGGAAATGCATCCACGAAGGAGCCGAGGAGGAGCCATCAGTGTCTCCTCGGTTAGAGCTCCTCCAGAGAGCCTCCTAGACGCTCGGTCCTCGAAGTGCAACATGGTGCGCTGAAATTCATTTCCGGGTCACTACCGGAGGACCGAGGAGTCGAGGAGGGGAAATTTGAGTATTGAGAAACCTCTAATGTGGACATCTGAGTCTGATGGAGGTTGTCAAACTGTTTGATGGAGCACTACCGCCACCCTCTGGATGGGGTCTGGTACTTGAAATATTACTTATTTTAAATGGCAAATGCAAGTTATCTAACGTACAATATACTGTTATTATTACTATTGCAATGAGTGCCTTTCACGTGCAATCCACATCTGTACATATTGTCCTCAACCATGTTAAGTGTAGTTATGTTAGCTTTATTCATTGTAACCTTCTAAGGGTCGTTGCATTTATTTTAGTCTTATTTGTTTGTTTTATTCTATATATGTTACACCTATAGGACCAGCACAAAATAAATTACGTTGTGCCTTAATAATGACGATAAGTTCTTGAATCTTGAATCTGACCAGTAGGGAGTAGCAGCCTAGTAGGCTACACTTTGCGGTTGATAGCTGGTGTAGTTCAACTATATTCATATTTGCATAGTGATTGAAGTAGTTAACTTAAATGACTATTTTGTCACTTCCTGGCAGGTCAATTACTAAAACTACGAACCCAGTTTGAGACATTAAAGCATTTCATTGAGGTCTGACTTCAATCTGTGGACCTTTGCTGCATGTTGTCCTCTTATTCTCCCCCTTTCCATATATCTGTTTGTCTTTGTACAAACATAGTTAAACAAATTACCCTTAAAGAATCAATACATATGTATGTGTTTACTTTTCTAGCAGCTGAACTTATTTGGCTTGCTATTTGAACCACATGTTTAACATATAAATAGATGTGCTTTATTTTCTCACAATTAAAAGACAAATACGTATTTACATTATTAATATTTTAATAGAAAAAACAACAGTGCAAGACAAGTCAAATAAACAACTCACAGTATAAATGAAAATATAAAACAGATCACATGTCATGATAACATTGACCATCAACTATCTTTTAGGAAGGGTTGGCATCTTCCTGTGGGAATATGTAGATCGGAATTTCATTTCATTATTTTCATTAATGTTAATTTGATCAGGATGTTTTAATTAGAAAATATCGACCTTTGACTCAATGTCTTCCAGGGTCTGAGTTGCTTGGAAACTCAAGTCATTTGTCGATATATACTGAGAAACTGCAGAAAACCATATCACATCCGACCCTTCCTTATTGTCAACAAAACACATTCGGCTTGATGTCCTGCGTTCCTTGATGTTTTAATTAGATATGACTCTTTAATTTCAAGCAGTTATCTCAGCAATCATCCCGCTCAGCCTCTCCTCTTCTCCCTCCTCTGTCCTATCTGCTGTTTCCTCTTGTGTTCTTGTGGGAACAAGCTGAACTCCTTCCTCTTCTCTTCCTCTCCTCATCCTTCTTCCCCCTCCCTTCCCTCTTCCTCCCCTCCTGCTGACCTACACAACAAGAGAAGGGCTACCCTGACACCTCTTCTGGAACGAGGGTCGCAGGCAGCGTACAGTAGAGGGTTAAGGCAGGAGTTGAGATAAGCTAAAACTGTGACATACGGTGAGCAGCCAGTAAAATATGATCCAAAGAGCAGGAGTACGGGACATAACCAAACTCCAGCAGCATGGAGGACCAGTCTTATTAACATGCAGGGGAAGCCAGCACAGGAAGGAAAGCCATTACTAGAGTGACAATGACCCTGAGGAGTCTTCGCTGGCGCCTGCTGGTCAGGGCAGAGTGGCCCCGTCCAAATGTCTGCTGAGGAGCCTGGGCCAATGAGCAGTAGCAGACCAGCAAGATGACAAAGAGGAAGCAGGAAGCAATTAGAGTTGATTTAAGGACTCAAAGCAGCAGCCCCACTCACACCTCTGCCCTCTCTCGATCCGCCTCCTCCAGATCGCTCAATCAGCATGGAGTAATCCATCTGGCAGATGAGGATGACTGATCCAGAGTCAGTGGTAGGATGAATTTCTTCATAATCATAATAAGACTCAGGGTCCCGCTCCCCTGACAGAGCGCAGCAGCAAACCAGGAAGTGCCAGCACCCCTGCCAGCACCCACACCCCTCCAAGTACCCACAATGCCCCTGCTGGGGCAGCTCTGTGGGGCGTGGGTGGCTGGAAGTGGCGTCTCCCAGTCAGAACCCAGTACGCTCCCACACTGAGCATGCTTCAGACTGAACACGCTTGGCGTACATGTTGAGCGCCGTGAGGAAGCTGCTGATCTGGCAGAGGGCTGCCCAAAAGGCCAGTGGTAGCCCATGGCCGTGTACACCGCCCACAGAGGGAGAGTGACGAGGAAGCAGAGGTCAGCCAACGCCAGGCTGGCTATCAGGGAGTCTGTGAGTGAGCGGGGGGGGACGGGGGGATGTAGGGAGGATGAGAGGAGGAGGCGGAGGAGTGAGAGGAGGGTCTTTGTTCTGATGAAGGGTCCATCTGCTTTCTTCTGAGGAGATCCACCAGTGTTGCTAATGCTCTGCTGTCTGATTCTGATCAGGCCAGTGATGTGAAACAGGTCTTTCCACTTCCCCTTCCATCGGGGTCGGTCCAGGTAGGCCCACAACACCAGGCCGTTGCCGAGGCAACCAACCCAAAAAGGCCAGCAGGTAGACGGACGGGATGATGGAGAAGGAGGGAGACCAGTCGCTGTAGTCGCAGTGGAAGAGGGCAGAGGGAGAAGGAGAGGGGGAGGTGAGGAAGTCTGACATCTGTGCGTCCGTCTGCTAAGTTTCTAAATATAATGAATCGCCATTGTCATCCCTGGCGTCCCAATACTGAAGAAAAGTCCAAACGCCTGCACTGGTACTATTGTTCCAGGGCCGAAATTCCAGTAGGAGATGAGTCCCTTGTTCAGTCTCACAGAAGGTTAAATTGGATGATCTAAAAGTACAAAAAAAGCAATGAGATTCTCAAACTTTTGCAACAGGCAAAAACACTACGTGCACAGCTCATAACAACAAGTCAAGTTTAGCCAACAGACATCTTACTTTAGGAATTGTGTCCAGGCATTTTGGACTCATCTGCCAGAGAATGTTGCAAACAGACTTTTTTTTTAACATGCAAACAACAAAGGTCTTCAGTGCACGTGAACTGTGTTGGTCCCTGTCATGCTCATTGCTGTTTTATGTTCTCTTGCTGCAAAGATGTCAGATGACTTAAGGCGACTTTTAAAGCAAACAATGTTGTGTTTTTATGCAACACCATTTGAAAGAAAAGTGTAACTCCTACAGGACGAGGAAGGTTTGGATCAAAAACACACAAATAGACAGATTCTCACACTGCACTAAAGCAGGAACATTACATACAGTGAAGCAAGGGACCTTTGCCAGGCATTGATAAACTATTGGTAAAAAATAGCAGCATGTGAATTTTATGTCTGTTCTGCATTTTCCTTTTGCAATATCTGGACGACTACAGCTTTATAAAACATCCTGGCTCTCTAGACTAAATGAAGAACTGCTCTGGAGAGGAATGATGACACCTACCCTCAGGCCACTTCATAAGATTGGATGACAAAATCATTTTCGAGATGCTGTGAGGATTGGGTGATGATCATTGTGGAGCAAAATTCAGCCGCTGTCCTCTCCTCCTGTCTTCTCTTCTTTCACTTTCTCTCTGCCACTTTTCCTCCTCATCCTCTCTACATCTATACTGAGCCGGCTGAGGAAGGTGTGTCTTCCTCTGAGTCTGAATAGATAGCACAGTCTCCATACACACACATGCACCCCCCCCCCCTCCCCCTTTCCCCCCCCCCCCTTTGTTTCTTAAACCAGACCACCCCAGCAGAGATACGAGACCTGCAAACAACCCCCCCCCCCGAACTACCCAAACACACACACCTCCCGTGAGACACAATAACATCACCCATCCTTCCCCCTGCAAACACACACAACCTGAGGACTCACAAATAGAAACACAAACAGATTTCCACAATCCTCTAGGCTGCCCATATTCTCAACTCACATTACAGAACACAGATGTGTGCAAAACACTAACACAACTCTTTTGTTGTGTTTCCCATGTTCAAACACACAGTGGTTAAATGTAACAACCCCACACAAACAGCCCTCACTTTCCCTCACAAAGAACGGGAAAGTGGATGCATGATACAGCCTTCATGCATATATTTAAAGGGCCTTTAAACCATTACTCTGGACAAACCTGCGTTTAAAAAACACAGCCTGTGTCAGATCTTCTCTGCCCAAACGATTCAATGCTGAAAATCTTATTAAAGTACAGTCTCTAGTGTGAAGTACACTGTTGAGGTAGTAACTTTACTTGCGCATACTACTTCTACTCCACTACATTGTAAAGGGACATATTCTACTTTTTTACTCACTGCTCACTATTTGACACACATAAGTTAAGAGCTACTTTGATTAGACCTCCTAAATATAAAGTGTATTGGTGTATAAGTTGGCAAAGACACAACATTTGTGTCATAGTTACAGCCATTGCAGGCAATATGCTATGAGAGAATAAAAGGTTATTTGTACTTGTACATTGTCTCCTTATCCCTCATACGTGATACAGCAATTTGCAAATACAGGAGAGATAGTAGTATGGCTAGCAGGGCTGTCAGTCAAGTTTTATCATCTTATCAGAGTAATGTTTTTGATAAGTGACCAAAAGTGGAATATAAATGAACTTAATAGATAACTGCGACAGTAATATTTTCAACTTTATTGAGAAAAGAGAAGATATTCATACTGACCATAAACTGTCTTCCTAATCAACAGCCAGAATATATTTGTTGTTATACTCAAATTATACGCATACGTACGTGATTGATAGAGCTTTTGTTTGTTTTTTAATTTTAAAGCATTTTAAAGTACTGTTTCCCTGTTATCTAATCTTAGTTATTGATGGATGGACAGAGGGATGGATGGATGGACACTACAGGTCAGTACGGGGTTACAGTGTAAACAGTGCAGATGTCCCGATAGTGAACAGGAAGTGTTTGTTACCACCAGGGGCAGAGGTCACACTGCCATCAAATGTTGTTATGGAAACAGATGTTTCTAAAAACATTCCAGTCTTTTCTACTATCTCTCTCTCTCTAGCTCTCTCTCTCTCTCTATCTCTCTCTCTCTCTATCTCTCTCTCTCTCTCTCTCTCTCTCTCTCTCTCTCTCTCTCTCTCTCTCTCTCTCTCTCTCTCTCTCTCACATACACACACACACACACACACACACACACACACAATGAAAGAAAGGCCAGAGTAAATACAACTGTTTCATTGAGAATCCAACTGTGGGGAGGATGCGCTGTGGGGTAACAAACAAACGCACAGATCAAGGGTTGGTATTGATAGCAGATACAGATACGAGCACCTCAACATGCTTGACACTACTGTTTGCACTAAAACATTATCTATTTGGGTTAATTATAAGACATTGTAGCCACATATGTATACTCAGTAGATTGAAACATCATTTTAACAGTATGTATCTTAAAAGTGTATGTCATTACAATTGTTAATAGTTTATGGGTTCATGGGGCTTTAAAATAAACACCTAGATATAGCTTAGTGCTAAAATATACAGCGGCTTTGCTTAATTGCATGAGTATCAATTACCAGAAGGTTAAAACAAGTCTTTAGGCCGGTAAGAACTTAGACTGGAAACCTGTAACGTCTGAGCTCATCTGACATTTGTGCAATGAGGCTTGAATTAAAGGTTTCAAATATTAAAAATAATAAATGACTGTTTCTGGCATAATTTTGTCATTTTTACAGCTGACTCATTGAAGGAAATCAAAGGTGTTATTAATAATGGCTTACAGGAACATTTTGTGTAAATGGAGCAGAGTCACCATTAATGTTATTAGTCAAATGTGTGCTGTGAAAGAAAGGCTTATTGTGTGGGTGCTTAGACTCTTCTTGATTGATAGTTTTCTTTATGTCATGTTCAGTTTTATTTCGGTACAGTGATGACTTCATTCCTGTATAATTTAGACCCGATGCCGCTTTAGCCAGAATGACTCAGAAAGGAGCGTGTTTGAACAGCTTTTAGGATCTTCTTGAACTGTGCCATCCACCAATGGATTTTCAAACATGGTAATAGTTTGCCTACTGGTAATGTGAATAAGATAAGCATTTGCATAATATGCCTGGGACAGTATGAAGCACCGAGGAGGCAAAGTCCACATAGCAGGACGACCTTTCAAAGGGATTAAAAGCACCGTGGATTGGAAACGGAACAATTTCATAATGATTGTCTCCAGAGCATATCAATCGATCCTCTTTGTTCTTGTCATTGTGATGGCAGGAGCAGAGGTGCAGGAAAACCTCTCTCCCAACTGTAAACAGTTCCTGTACATGGGCACGCTGCCTCGAGGGCTTCAGCAGCTGTCTTTTAAAAAGATTTGCCAGTTCTACGAGGGCAAACCACGATTCGTCACCCTGTTCGACACCTTCAGCCACATCCCCATTTATTCTGCGTACACCTTCAAGCGCTCAGACGGCTCCAAAAAGGTGGATGTGCCTTGGATGTATGAACCACAGGTAGGGGTTGAGTATTGGATTTGCTGTCTTAACCTGCTTTGAAAAAAGCATACAGTCCTATGTTTATGCTAAATACTTTAAATCTACTTACTTAAACACACATTTGAGTTTTTATTTAGGTCAATATTTATCTCCACAGCTCTCCACAGTGTCTGATTCACGTGAGATGCAGCCCTTCCCTTCAGAAAACCTTCACAAGAGCTTTGAGGATGCTCAGGCCGTGCTTGAAGACTACTCCAACAGTGTCATGTTTGAACGTGGTCAGCTGAATCCGGACGAGCACCAGGCCGACATCCATGACAAAGCCTCCACCTACACGCTGACAAACGTGGTCCCTCAGGTCAGAGAGTTCAACATTGGCCCCTGGAAAGATCACCAGCACATGATTCGCAGGCGGCTCAACAACTACTGTCGTGGCACCGCATATATAGTCACCGGGGTCACGACCTCTGGGCACAGCATCCGCAGACACAACATCAACCGCCTGGGCATCCCCACCTACCTGTGGTCGGCATACTGCTGCATCGATTTTGACCACAATGCACCATTCTCCGAGCGCTCAAAGTTTCCTGTGTTTGCAGCTCACGGGCTCAACGACAGGCAGGATAACAAGGTCCAGGAGATGACGGTGCAGCAGCTGGAGGACTTCCTGAAGAAGGTTACCTATGTCGACAGCTCTTTCCAGATCTTCTATGACAACTGCGTGGCTCTCAATAGTGCCATGCCTTGAGAGAAGAAGATTGGTCCTTTTATATTTACGCAATTGTCTTTAAGATTCCAATTCAGCCGTCAAATAGGAGTAAATATTGAATTACTTTATGCAGTTTCTGGGGTAATTTAAACTTGATGCCCCCTTGTCTCAATTTCTTCACCAATATATAATCTAGCATATCTTTATTTGCTCTTTGGCAGCTTGTTTGCAGATTGAAATGTAAATCCCACCACTATTACACTGATCTTTTCTTATTTAACGTGGTCAAAGTGTAAAGAATATAACCCCAAAGGTCCTCTTACAAACTTTTCCGAGCACCATTTGCTGAGAAGGATGTGTTTGAAAGCTCTGAAAAGGTACTAAGTGGACCTTTGAGCTTAGATTTGTATACATATCATTGTCCCCAAAGGTTCATATTGGTCTTACATTAAAACATTAGTCGGAGTAAAACATTTGAAATGATGTTGTACTTGATGGTGCGTCAACTAGCTTGTGTTGCGAGTTCACTCACCATGAAAACACTAAATGGTTGTACTCTTCCTTCACTCTATCCTTATCTGATGTTAACTTACTGACTGGGAACTACTCCAGCCTCTGTAGGCCTTTTGTTCATCGCCGACAGATTAGACCAGGAGTTTTACATCCAGCCTCTTAACTGCAGCACTACTATACACCTTTTTAGTTACCAACAGAGAAACTCATGACCAACTGGTGTACAATCCACATTCTGACTTATCAATCTGTTATCCTCAACAAGACGATTCCCATCAAATAGTTTTACTTATCAATGAATAATAGGAATTAGTGTATCAGAATAGCAAACAGTAAAAAATGAAATGGGCTCGGCTTATTTTGTTATTTTTGAGGTACCTCCTTTTCGTTACATTTGGATTTCAAACTGTGCCATGAAATGTGAACTACAAAAGCTATATTGAGTATAAATAAAATAAGGTGATAATCCCTGAGCTTTTTTGTGTTTATTACTTTTGGTCCAGATCTGGTGAAATCTCTTTTGCTACAGCCTGCCATAGATACTAAAAGCCAAAACACAACAATAAAATGATCCAAATCTCGAAGGGCAGACACAGCCCGAGGGTTAAGATTATGGTTGTAACTGTATTTTGTTGGAGAGGGTAGCTGTATGTTGCCAGCTGGCAGGTCACTGAGCCAGATGGTCGGCTCCTGTTTGACCAGCTGCAGACTGATCAAGAGTCCAACAAATATATTTCCAACCCTTAATTGGAAATACACTTAAGACTTATTGCCAGCAGAGGGAGACAGTGTTCATGTAATATGTATGTAGCTAAACAACTTAGTGACAGGTCCTAAAACCCGGAAGTAACCCGGTTCCCGATTTTGTAAAATAGCTCGAAATAAGGTCTGTGGTTGACACACATTTAAGAGATGGATCACGTTTATTCAGTCGGATAATCTCCACATGTCTACCCTACTTTTATAATTTTCAAATCATAAATCTACCGATCATAAATCTATCAATTAGATTTGTGATTCGAAAATGATAAAAGTACTATATTGTGGGAGTGCTGTTCTAACATCCACTAACAACAAGCATATTATCCTGACTATTAAAAAAGGTGAACAAATACTTCAGTGCATTGAAGAATATGTAAAAAATAATGATTATGCAAAGACATCAGCGTTTTGACAACACTTAATCAAAGACAGACTTCATTTTATAAACTCAACATTTTTAATGTATCTCTTCAAGAGTTTCTTACATTTCACACATTCAGCTCAAAGTTAAAAAACAAAAACTCATATTTCTGTACAAAGCTGAGCAGTTTGTGCAGCAGCATCCTGTAAGCACAACGTCTACCTACAGTAAACCATTTTCAAAATATGCTGATTCATTGCAGGACAGAAACACTTTTAAAAAAATGTAATAATGGTAAATTGTTGCTCTTTGTACTTCAAAGAAATAACAGTTTGGCTTCACATAGAGCCAAATCTCTCTCTCTCTCTCTCAGTTCACTTAAAACGCTCACAAGAGTAAGAAGCCACAGTAGTCGGTGCTTTGCAGCAGCAGTCCGGTTTGAGTGTTTTGGCCTCAGTTGAACCAAGTGGTGTTGAGCTGCGTCTGTTTCTTGATGCTAGTGTCCACCTTGAGGACTTCTCTGATGGCCATGGTAGCGTAGGTTGATGGAGGTAGGGAGAACTCCATCCTCAGAGCCCGATGCTTCCCCTCTGTCGGAGGAATGAGAGAAACAGTGTCAGAGAAAGAGGACGGTCAAAAAGACCCTATAAAGCAAACAAATATCAACATTCATGCATCCCAGCTCTATGCTGCCAATGTATTGCAGATTGTTTAACGTGCCAAATTCGACAGACGTGATATAATGCATCTAGAATAACTAGAATCAACGCCATGTGTTTGAACTCCTCCAACAGAAAGTCAAGTTGCATTTTGCATATTAGTTCTTGAGTTATGGTCCAAAACTTAAATTATCTTTAAAATCGTTCCTCTCTTAGTCCAAGTGGACGTCAGTGCAACATTTGAAGACATTCCCTTCAGCTGTTCCTTAAATATCATGTCCACAAGTAAAGGACAGACGGATGGATGGATGGGCAAACAACCCAAAAACATCTCTCAAGTAATGTAGATTTTGTGATTTGTGGGATCAAAATCCTGGTGGAATTAGTTAGTTAGAGAAAAGAATAATACATTTACCTTTGTTGTAAACAGGAGCGGGTTTATTCTCCAGTTTCTCAAAATCACTATGCACCAGGGAGATCCTGGGGTCATCATACTGAATCACCTCCCTGCGTTAAACAGACAGAAACACCTCAACAGGTTAGAGAATTCACAGTATCATTTAAGTAAAGCATTCAAATACCTGCAGTACACAATAACAATCTCTATTACAATATGGGTAACATTACAGAACCGTGCTGCACCATGTGAAGAAATGATATGCTGTAGAAATTGTGAGAAAATAGACAACCAACTTTTATCTTTGACTACATAACTTGTGTGTCGTGGATTTTATCAGCTAAAAACTCAACAAGAAAACTGACCAAGTGTTATTGTCACAGAAAAGAGACATTGGTTGCTAGTGTCAGACAATGATGTCCTTAGAGTCCGCTACAATACTAGTATTTGATTAGCGACGCACCAGCTGACATCAGTGGGTCTGATGATGATGCGTCTGTACGCTCCGGCCAGAGAATAGTCCTTCACTTTGTGTCTCATGTTGTCGATGTCCAGCCCGTCTGCAGTGAGCAGCTCTCTGTAACCTTTACCCACTAAACAAGATGGAAACAATGTTACAGGCAAATACAAGCTCAGGTCTACATTTTCCTTTGATTTATTTTCAAAGATTTCAGATTTTGCTAAACCACACTTTTGTATTTCTTTCAATTAGCTTTTTATTCAGATCCATGTAAGCAGCCTGTGGAGCTTAAAAGCCTTTTGTGCAGCTCGTGTAGTACCATGCATTAGTTTTAAAGCATCCCAATGTTATTTTTGACAGCTATCTTTTAATCTAACATGCACATTTTCACCAAGAACCACTTCTTACCATGATGAGTGGGGTAGATGACATCGAACCCAGGAAGTGGCATCACGGTGTCATGGATGGAGGTGGTCTCAGCCTCCTCTGCAGACAGCACATGAGCTGTGGCTACATAGAAATATCAAAATACAACATCAGAAGGCAGCACTTGTATCTTTTCAACATTAGGCCAAAAATTCAGTTTCAGGTGGTGCCAAATTGAAAACCCTATGATATTAGGTGCAATATTCATAAATAACACTTATTTTAGTCAATTAAAATACACAAGTTTAAAATACTTTGATTTGGGGTTCTTTAAAACTATAGTTCAAACCATAGTAAACATTGTATAGTGTTTTTGTTATTGGTTTACTTGTCTGAGAGTTTAATGAAAAGACTATTAACACTGACTTTAATATTTATCATAAGCTAATAGAAAGGGGGTCTTCTTACTTCCTTTGAGCACCAGGTCCCCCTCCACAGCCTTCAGGCCGAAGGCATCGATCCTCCGGCTCACCATGGTGTTCCACACCACGCTCTGGTAGCTGTGGACGTACATCAGGCGGTTGTTACGAGGGAGCTGAAAGAATAACAAATACTCGTCAGTGAAAATGTCATGAAAAGTATTTTCCAAGGGTTTGGACATTTAAACAGTTCACATTAGGGACTTTTCAAGACATCGTAGATTGAAATTAAATGAATTCTTCCACCAAGAAAGACATAAATACATTCTTGTGACCCTCTAGATTATTTGCAGCACAACACAACAGTAGAGCATTCATTTTAAGACCTAAAAAGGTGTATTTTTTTGTTGTATTTTAAACCCATTTAGACTTTCACGTCAGAAATCAGATTTGTATGGAACTGTGTAAACCTTCTTTTAAAGTCTCATATTCCTTTGCATTATAAATTAGAACAAAAAACATACATTTACATCGGACCTTTGCAATGGTGGACTTTTGCTGCTTTACTGTATGTTCTGTTTCTTTAAAACACACATTTCCAGCTTATTTATAGCATTATCAATAATGATAAAAAAAGGGCACAAACCATCCCAAAAGCAGTGACGATGTTCTTCTTGCCGTACATGGACAGGCCTCGCAGCAGCTGACCCTCCACGCAGCGTTTGTTGGGAAGCTTCTTCAGGGCCGCCTCGGGGTCCTGACTCTTTGCCCACTCCTCTCTGCAGCGCACCAGGAACTCTTTCTCCGCTGAAAAAGTGTTAACGAGGGTTGAAGGATTTACATATTTCAAACCATATCTAATTTAAATATAGTAGAAGAAAGTGTGACAGACAGAAGTTCCGTACCTCCAGGACGGGGCTTCAGAATTAAATCCACCACCTCATTCCAGTCATTTCTTAAGATAGCCCTGCGCGGAAACAAAATGATTAAAATACTTGAGTAAACACTAATAACATAATCACAATATATGTCAGCCCCCCTGGGTTTGACCTTACTTTCCAACTTGTTGTGTAGGCACGGCCGTGGTGCCAAAGCGCTGCATCCCATAGTAGTTGATGAAGCCTGTCGCCTTGATGGACGTCATGGCCTGCTCGACCTGCTCGTCTGTGCCTGAGATGTTCCTGATTTACAGATAAATCAACAAATAAAACGACAATGAGAAGTACATTCATGTAACAGGGAAGTCAACAATGGTTTCAAGACCAGACACATTATGCCTGAACAATTTAGAAGAATGAGATATGATACAGGACTTCCTAAAAATTAAGGCTAGAAGCAAAACATCATGCTCAAATTTAAACAAAATGAACGGGACAACATTTTTAAACCAGAGAATTGATGCGTTATACATCTTTTTGGGGAGTCATTGACATTTTTTAGACATGGCAGATTTAATATCATAAGGAGCACTATTAACAAAATACTTGATAATACTAGACACACAACCACTGGTTGGTTACAGGTAACCAGCATTCATAACAAACGGGATTTACGTCTACGTAACATCTGCTTAAATAACATCTGCTGACCTGATGACAATAGTAAAGTGGTTGCCCTGCAGCTCTCCCAGCTTCAGAGGATGGTTTTTGTAGCAGAAGTTTCCCAGCTTCAGGTTCATGAGGCACTTGTTGAGGTGAGACAACCTCTCTGCTGTGATCCTGAGAGGACAGGGACAAGGTTCATTTAATCACTCATCCTGTCAAAATGCTGCCTAGTAACAGCAGAAACTCCTCCAGCACGGATAAGATGCACCATGAACCACTTGTTCAGAAATCATACACAGACAATGAAATGAATGCACAGTAATTAAAGTTGTGATAAGCTTAAAGCATTACACACTCACTTGAGCACGGCTATCTCCTGCACAGTGACGGCTCTCTTGTCCTTGGTTCCCATGTAGGAAAACATGTTGGGTCTAAGCCTAGAAAGACAAATGAAGAAATGACGGTTCAAATCCTATTTCATTGGGCAAATAACTCTCAATCTGTCTCTTATGATTAAATGATTATCCTTTTTTAAAGTTGAACACAAACCTGAGGAACTTTGAAAGCACATTGATAGCATCCATGGTGTCCTTGTTCTCCTTGTAGAGGACAAAATGGCAGAAACTGCCACGGTTTTTGGGCCAGAAGTGTTTCCTTGGAGCTTTTATGGACACATGAAGAACATAGTAAAGATTGTTGAGCTAAATAATTCACAGATACAAAATACAATATTCACTTTTAAGATTCCAGGTAAAGCTTAACAGATGTTGTTTTTCCACGTGGTTACCTTTAAGTTAAACTCATTTGTGATTGCTTATAATAATGGGGAATACGTTTACTTTTTGATTACAAAAAGAAAAAGCATTTTCCTAGCAACCGACACCTAACTCCGTGTGGGTTTTAACCACATCCTCTGAGGTGTGTGGAGAATAAGTTCTTACCTGCAGTTGCTTTCACCTCTATCCACCAGAGGGGAGCAAAAGGAGGATAGAATAATGTTACTGAGTAAAAGATGTTTAAGGACTGTGGGGTGAGATGTCAGGGATGAGATCTCATGCATGGGCCTGAGAGTGGAGCATGGTATTAAAATGGTTTAAGCAACAAGGGTTTTTTCAAGGCATCACAATACCGAAAGTCTTCATTCTGACCAAATGAAGTCAAAACTCAGACCATATAGCTCAGGGGTGGGCAAACTTTTTGGCTCGGGGGACACTATGAGTTTTAAAATTTGACAGACGGGCCGGGCCAGTAGCAGATCGGTGAAAAAATATTTAGCTGTCCACTCCTCACTTTACACTCAATGTTGACTTTTCTTTTCTTTGGTCCACTCATTGTTACAGATGCAGGTTCAAAGGTGAATTAGGTTCAAAGGTGAATTATTGCGTCATTGCGTAACCGTTTACGTGCCTTCTTATGACCCACACAGCGTTTTACGTCCCTGATTTTCTCCGCAACACCGCTCACAACAACATCAATAGAGGACTGCGTCGGGTAGTTTTTAATTATACGAAGCCAGATTCAATTAAATAACTACTTCTCCAACCTTGTACCTTTCTCCAGAGTGCCATGGTGCATTGTTTGTTAATGTGGTTCAGCTGCATTACTGCCTGCTGCAGTGCTGCTCGTCTACCGGAGTAGATGGGCATGACTTCGCCACTCTATTCTTACCTACCCTACCTTTAACTCTTTTTAGGGTGCAGCTTTATGTTTTATTTATTTCAAAGTGGGCCCATTTTAATTATATATGTTTTCCTTCAAATGTGCAGAGGACTCCCCAAGTGCTGTGTTTAATTTATTTTAAAGTAGGCCTGTGTATTATTTTTAATTCTCCTTATGAGTTATTTGTTTCTTATTAGAGGTTAACAGTTTTATATAATGTAATAAATAGCCTAATAAATGCAAAAAAACTGTTTTTGTCTGATATAACAATAAATACAACTTTATTAGCTATCAAGCTATGAAATATGTTTTGTGGCTCCAGACAAAACATTTTTTTGGAAAAAGGAGCAAAATGGCTCTTTTGGTCAAAAAGGTTGCAGACCCCTGCCATAAATGAATGTGTTTTAGTCTGAAAGCTGTTTGGCATCACAACGCTGTTATGAAAGTTTATCTGGCATTCTACAGGTGATGTTAGCTAATCTTGACTACTTGTTGCTATATTGTGGCATAAGTCGTTTTCTACACGCATATTTTACCGACGTAGTTTTCGTTATGATTTTACTTGTGATGGCCACATGTAGCCCATGTATTGATTCCATCCGATAGCCGCAATAATACAAAACAAAAGGAAAACGTCTGCCTCTTCACAATGGTCAATAACAGTGAACGGATGGTTATTAAAGTAAGGTAAAATGTGTAAAATGTGGTTCTCAGTTAGCACATCACTACCATTTGTTTTGGACTTGCCCTTTAATAGTAACTTTTTGGCAAAAGATCCATGTAGAAATTGAAATAATACTACAGGAAAAAATCCCATTAAACTGGGACGAATTTCTATTTGGGCTCGTACATTCAATCCCCTCAAACTTAAAAACAAAACAATTATTTGGAATTCTTACTGTTGCAGCAAAAAAAGCAATAACTAGAAAATGGCTCAAAGCAGACATCCCCTCTCTTGACAACTGGTATGACAAAATCCATGAAATCTATATCATGGAAAGAATCACATTCTCAATGAGGCTACAGGAAAACACATTTGAGGAAATATGGAAAAAGTGGAGAATTTACATATCCCAAAGACGACCATCCCTTGTTTGACTGTTCCTATACACCGATTGAATGTATATAGATGTGTATGTATGGACACATGTATGTGTGTGTGTATTGTATGCATATATGCATGTTGATATGAATGCATATGTACATGTGTAGACATTTGCTATTTCAAACAACCCCTGTGTACTTTTTCGTTTTTATTTTATTTTGACTAATTTTGTTTGCCATTTCATTTGTCACTTTTGGGTCTCTAAAAATATATGATTTGAAAAACTGTACTTGTATTATAATGTGACCCCAAATAAATAAAGAATTAAAATAAATAAATAAAGTAAGGTAAAATAAACAGAATCACACTAAGCCTGGTTAGTGTTGCCTGACTTTATATAAGTGTTTTTATAAGTGTGTGGTCGCATTCTAGTCACTTTGCTCAGCGCTACTGCTTGTTACAACTGAACTGTTATTGCTCAGGTTAATCTCGACCCCCTCCAATGTAAGCGTGACGTATTTGGTTCTTGGATCTTGCCGGGTTGCTGAGTGGGGCCAGCTGAGAGAATAGACCAGACTCCAGCAAAGGTAAATTGTGTCTAGAGTGCGCCATCTAGTGGGATCAACTGAAATGCCGGGTATTGCAGGAAAAAGGCAAAATGAATGCGGTCTTTAGTATAATTTGGACAATTTTGTACTAATATTCGGCGGGCCGGATTCAAAAGCCCAACGGGCCGTATATGGCCCGCGGGCCTTAGTTTGCCCATGCCTGATATAGCTACTTTTAACAGACACTGCGAGTACAGGTCGGAGCAGAATCATGCAGGTGCCTTGATCATGCACATTCATTAGTGCATGCAGACTTTTGACTGCGCTGTAGTAAACATGCACTGCAGCAGAAAAGCTTAATGTAGACAAGAACCCTGTCCAGACTGTAAAGCTGACGTCTGGTTCTCCTTCTCTCCTCTTACCTGCTAGAGCTTTCTTCCCAGCAGCATGGTAGGCTACTATGAACTTGCGTCCTTCCTTCTCTTCCGTCTTTGTCTCTATACCAGGAAACTGTGTCTTGATGGCTTTGTGAAGCAGTGTCCGCTTCTCTTTAGTATCCTCCATCACCTACAGATGTTAAGAGAAGAGAAAGGTCATCACCTAAAACGTCCACTGGGTTTTGAGTTATGATAAAAAGGGATCCAGTGTGTGTGAACTCACCTCAATGGGGACCGCGTCCTCTTTGTTTTTGAAGAGCTGCAGCTCGCCAAGCTTCTTCTTCTGCTCTTCTGTTAGCACGTCACAATCCTCTGGTTTCGGCTCAGGCTCTGGGGCTTCCTAAATAGAAGAACATTTAAACATCATTTGAAGGTTGCTTTCCACAAAGCTTTCCTTTTATATTTGTTTTGCTAAGAGTGTCAAAGTAACAGTAGTTATTTTGGATTACCATTTGTACTTGTATAATGAATTCAAGACGTCGTTTAATCTCTGAACAAGAAATAATACATTTTAAATGCTTATCGTCCACTGATACATTTAGCCATAGTATTAAAAACTCAATAATAGTCTAATGGAGAAGCTGAGTCAATATGTTTATATGGATCCAATGTCACAAATTTGCCTCAGGGGGTTTTATAATCCGTACAGCATATTACAAAACCCTCTATCTGTATATGACTTGTTTCAGATAAGGATAGCGCCTCCCAAAAAAACCTTTAACAGAGGGAAATTGAGGAAATCTCACAAAAATCAATTTAGGAGAGATCCCTATCACACTGATGGATACCAATATGTCTTGTGTATGGAATTGACCAACGTGATACAATTCCAATATAAACAATTTCACAAAATGATACGTAGAATGTGAAAAGATATGAAAAATAGGGATTCAGGAGGATTTTAAGCTGCTTACAGGTCTGCCTAGAAACACTGGTGATTGAAATGTAATCCAATATCTTACCTCAGCCTCTGGAGGGACGGAGAGGTCATCTAAATGCACAATTTGGCCTTGTCTGTTGATCTCATGCACCACGAAATCTGAATATCTGATAAAAAACCACAACAGATTATCTGTTAAACAATCCAAACTGAAATAAGTTATGCAAACTAGTTAAAAGCTGTCATGACGAACCTTTCTTTCAGGATTCCTGAGAAGCCCTCATGGTCACTGACGTACCTCAGGATACCCACATCCAGCTCAGTGAGGCCATACTTCATCATATCTGCAAAGGTTTCACCTTCCTCTTCTCCATCAACTGCTTCCCCATCAGGCCCTTCCTCCTCCTCATCCACTTTGACTGGAGGGTCTCCATTCTTGTGATCCTTCTCAACTTTGGGTTTCTTCGAAGGTGTGTCTTTGCCTTCTTCCTCCGGACAGCCTCTCTTTTCTCCCACCTGGACTGTGACGGACACGTGCTCAGGCTCAGCCATCAGAGCCAAGCTGTGAGAACAGAGAATTCAAAACATAAAAAGGTAACTCCATTGAAGAGTACACCTACTATGAAAACAATTGTATAATGCCTGCTGATTAAATACAAATAAATACATATTACCGGTAGTGCCATACAGTGTCACATCATAGTAGGAGTACTTACATCTACAATAACATTCATTATATAATGTGCATACATTTCATCCAGTATGATCAAGTTTATAGTTTTGAGAAAACAAGATTCAAAGGTTTTTTTGTCATATGCACAAAGCTACCGAGTGTAGCAATGGCAATGACATTCTTCTGACCTGAGCTCCTCCAACAATGCAACATATAATACAACATAGAAAGTAGTGCAACAAGTCTATATGCATACAACAAATTATATATTTCAATATTAAAATATGATAACTTATTTATTTTCACATTTTGTAGCTGTCTTCCTTTTTCTAACGACAAAATAATAACTAAACTGTGAACCAAAACTATGAATAAAACACTGTGATCATCATTAGTAACATATTGCAAATGCTAAACTCGATTATGCAATCATCTTGAATCGATGCACATAAAACAACTTCAACTGCAGATGTTTGTTTGAGGAATAACAACACACTCAAATCACATTATCGGCCTATAAAACAATGCGATTGAAATGACTTACAGTTTGTGGAGCTGAGGTTGCAAAAACAGATGTGGATCAGGGTAACTCTTCTTGTTGCACAGCTGCCAAACACTTGTAGCAACTTGTTAACGGACTGGAGTTTGCTGAGGCCCTGGAAAGACAAAATGAACATAATAGCAACTCAAAAGTTAGCAAAGCAGCTAGCGCATTCGCATGTAATAGCTAACATTACTTGCTAATGCTAGCATTGGTAACAGCAAAGCTAAGCTAAAACGTCGGGGTAAATAAAGCAAAACCCGACTATGTTTCAAGAGATAGCTCCAATGCAATTTACCTGCGTCTGATTATATGCAATACGGACAGCGTTGAAAGCCAGCTTTTGCCACACACGTGTGTGTGGGGGGGGGGGGGGGGGGGGGGGGGGGGGTTTGTTCCGGAAACAGATCCTACCGCCCACTGCAAACGTTTGGTTAAAGACCTGTCAATCATGCAGTTAGCTTCTCACATAATAATCATAGACTGTATATAATAATACAATTAAATAAAAAACAAATCAACATGATTTTATTCAAATCAATACACAGACATTTACAAAACTCATATAGGGTAAGATAACATTTAAAAAAAATGAATTTACAATTAGAGAGTTAATCGTCTACAATGTGTTTTAGGGAGTTTATATATAAGCATAGGCGACATTTGCGATGGGGACATGTCCTTACCACTTTTTGAAATTTACATTTTTGTCCACACCACCTTTTTAAAGTATAGGGCTAACTTTTAAATGTTCTGAAAAATAAAGTGCACAAATAAATGTAATGAACAAGAACACTGGTTTAGTGTCAAGATTTGCAATTTGGACATGTTAGTAAACTTTTAACAGAAAATGTAAAAATAAGTTTTGTAGCAGCAGGGCGCAGGCACTGCACTTAAAAAAAAGTAATGTAAACCAAAAATAATTCCTCCTTATATGGAGAACGGAACATGACATAAGTATAAATAAATAAATGCATAAATAATTGTATGAATAAATAAATGAATACGGAAATAAATACAGGAATAAATAAATAAAAGAATAAATAAATTAGGAAATAAATACATAAATAAATAAATGTAGAAACAAATGCAGGAATAAATAAACACAAGAAAACATAAATAAATACAGGAATAAATAATCACAAAATAAATAAATGTATAAATAAAAATATATAAGTTGAGAATAAAACAGAACACACACATATTTAATGTATTACATTTATTTTTACTAACATTAATATATTTATTAATTTCTGTGTCTGTGCGTGTTTCACACAATGTTGTTCTGCTTGGTAGCCTTGTATTCTGTGGATACGACAACATTTATAACAATTGTACTTCAATTGCTCTGAAAGCTGTGTCTTTAACAATATATTTGAGTTGCTATAATATTTATATCACTTTTTCTGACCAGTCCCCATTTTATTTAGAAGCTGTGTGTCAAGTTGTACACAATGCAAGGCGAAACACAGTGACTCTTCTGTCTTCAATACATATTTTAAAAGCTTACAGCACCGGGAATTTCCGGCATATTCATGTTTTGTATAAACCTTTAAGCCCCCTGACACAAAAGTACAATTTGTGATATTGGGCTGATTAAATAAACTTTGATTTACTTGTATTGATGTATTTGGTGCAAAAAGTACACTTCACTTCAGTGCCCTCAAGAGCCAGATATAAATGTTTATTAGCGTCAGAAATTGTGTTGCTATTAAAGGGTTTGCTACTACCGAAAACTGAGTAACAGGAGTGCAAGGGATGGGATTTCTAACAGGTTTGAGATTTTGAAGCTCTTCTCCATAGCAGTGAGATAACGCACACATTTAGCAAGCAGCACAATAGGAAAAATCAACGTGATAACTGCTTGGCTGGTATTGAACCGACCACCTTCAGAATCGAAGACAACAGCTCTTCCTCTCATCCACATCCCAATTATGGGCTGTTGTTCAGAAATGATCAACTCATAGCCGGAATGTCCCAATCAAGATGAGTATTTTGTTGTTTGAATGGAGGATTTGTTTTTTATTGGAAAAATACCTGAAGTTTGGTTGTTGGAAAGGTACCACCAAGGCTTAATTCCATTGTTTGTAAAGGACAAAAGAAACATGACTCCAGATGCCCTGGTAGCCTTGTGATTTCTGAACAGATGTAAGAACTGGACTGTCACTTCCTGTGATGAGTTTCAACAAGTGTTTTTACAATATCTCCTCTGACAAGTCCTTTCCTCCTCATGATAATGTTATAGGTATAGGTAAGATGTTAATGCAACATTTGTGTGTGACTTTGGCTCAAGGGGGTAAATGGAAGTCTTCCAAGCTGAGGGTCAGCGGTTCAACTCCCAGCATGATATTGTTTTGTTATTTTACCTCACTGAGCTGCCCGGGAGGAACTCTTGCAAGTTATTTCAAAGTAATAGCTCTCACAAACTCTTGTAAAAACGTTTTTAATTGTGGTGTAAAAAACTGAAAAAAGTAGACAGATATCTAGGCTTAATTCCAGTTTTTTCTAAAGGACATATTCAGGTAATCAAGTCTAACCCTACAAATGAGATTGTTTTATATTATTTACTTATTTCCATATTTATTTTTTCTTGTGTTTATTTATTGCTATATTTATTTAAGTTTTTTCACTTTTATTTATTGTTATATTTTTTGTTTCCTGTATTTATGCATTCATTTTTTGTTTACCCTTGTCATGTTCTGTCCTCCATACCCGTGTGCTTGTTGTGTGCATAAAGACAAATTCACTCAAGATCACATCACAGCAAGACATATGGTTGGGCGTTCAATGTTTTAGAAACACTTTGGTCTTTGGATTGGTTTTTCATGCAGGTGCTCAACACCCAGGGGAGGGACATCCTTTGTCTTCTCCTATGCTGATGTTAAATCAGGAAAATGGTCCCCACCACTTTTTCTAACAAAGTGCATACAAGATATATTTTTAATTCACATAAAACTCCTGTTAAATCGGAATGAACTTTACATGAAAATACATGAAGAAAAATCAAAATGGAATCAACTTACTTCAATTAAAGTCCCAAGCAATCCTGCAGTTAATTGGAGATATTTAATAATAGCAATAAATATTGATGATATCGGTGTTGTGGCTTAGATGGTTAAAGCGCCTGTCTAGTAAACAGGAGATCCTGGGTTCGAATCCCAGCGATGCCTTTTCACTGAGAATTAACGCAAGATGCCTCGGATCGGATTTACATTTGCAGGGAAACGTATCAATAAGGTAAACCAATAAAGACTTGTTGGTTGTGTTAACTGTGAATCAAACACGCTGTTTGCAAATATGACATCATGGTTACTTCTGTCAATGCTACCATGTTTCCTCCCATATTATGGTTTCCTCCTTAATGCTGTTAGCTCATGTTTGTCTTTCTTTGGCATAGTGAATTAGCAGAGTTGGAAATTGATTAGCAAATACTTTGAAAATCAATTAAACATTTAGGTAATTTTCTAAATGTAGTGGAGCTAAGGTAATGTCCTTCTATCTTCATTTTCATCAGGTAAAAGTAGACTTTAGCTTAGCATAACATGGACATACTTAAAGTACAAATACCTAAAATATGTACTAGCCTACCTACAGATATACAGTATTCAGGAACATACAGCCTACTTATGTAGTAAGTCTATGGGTTCATTCTACACAATGTTGTATTGCACTTAAATTAAATTCAGGTGCATGCTCCTTAGCTTTTAAAGTGTCTAATTCTCCTTAATAAAGCATAATTGTACTGTATGTGACACCATCTTGCATGGCCACCATTTCACAATAAAGCAACTTAAAATGTTTAATATTAATTGTACCTAAGTAAACGAAAAGAAAAGGGTTCTCATTTAATCCTCACTAATGAGAGTCAATAATATAACGCTCTGTTTACCTCTAATCGCTTCCTTCATTAAAAAAGTAAGGAAACTAATTATATTGTTTGGTAAACGGATATAAATAGTTAATTCCCAATAGGCTAAATAAATTAATAAATCGTTTTATTATTAAATATGATTACATAGTGGCAAAAAAAATGTATTTTTGCAAATTGGTGCATATCCACGCGGCCTCTGCATGTCATTGCCGCCAGAGGGAGCGCATGTAGAGGTTAGTGTATATGTGTGTGTTTGTGTGTATTTGCGAGAGAGAATCCGGCTGCTGCCGCTGAGCTGCCCCAGCTCGTGCTGAGGGGAAGAGGAGGAAACATGAGCTCCAGGAAAGGTGCGTATCCCTCAGCCTCTAACTTGAACATGCTACCACACTTACTGTTTGTATTTTACATGAAAGGTGGCGGAAGTTACCCGTGTAGCTAACCTATACCAGAATACACCAAACGACGCTAAATTACCCGCCAGCTTTAAAGCCTAATGATGAATGTTTGTTCTCTCTCTCCCCGTCCCTCCTACACCCTTCCCCGGACATCGGTCATGCCCGTTGATAAACCTCACATCGCCCCGGCAGTGATGGCCATCCAGGCTAGAAAAAGGAGGCCGAAGGGGAAGAAAGACAGAACTGGTCACCATCGGAGGTAAGCAGGGCGGCGGCGTTTGATGACTGCACGACATGGTGAAAGTGAAGTGTTTGTTTGCCGGGGTTTGGCTCGCTGGCAGCGGGTGTCTCACCGTCTGACGCCGGTATAGACTGTGCGCACATATGGCCAAAGGCGTTTACTTTCAGCACGCATATGGGCTACTCTGGAGTGTGATAAGTTGCCATTTACGTTAAAAAACGACCCCACTTGACTCCCTAACGCCTGCTTCTATCCACAGTAGCTTCATGCCTTATTTTTGCCTCTCTTGGGTTCCACGACTGATAGCCTCCTGACTGATTATTTTTGACAGGGGGTTGTAGAAGGAGGTGTGACAGCTCGTTTCTTTGCAGCAGTACCAGACTGATAAGAACCAAAACACCCCCCTCTATCGAAATGCCTATTTTGGAATCTCTCACATCATGGGGCTGGATTATGTAACTTTTGTTGAATTTGTATGAGCATTGTTTCCTGGTGTGTCTGGTTGTATTGGCAGTCTTGCAGATGCACGGGTATTTCAGCTTGATTTCCCCGGTGTGTGTGCTTGCAGCGGACTGGAGTGTGAGCAGCTCAGTGTAAAGTGCATGCGAATTGGAGAGGGTAGAGTGGGGGCTTTCTTCATGGCATGATGCTATTGGAGCGACGTCACCGGCAGCCGAAGAAGGCATCAATTAGGTGATGCCAACCAATGCCCACCCCAGGGGGCTGCTCTGTCTGATGCTGGAATGTGCTGGATTTCCCAAACACCTGCACATTGAAATACAGCAAACAGATGTGTGCAAAAAAGACCCCGCATGATAAGGCCAGTTATTCAGATTTTCTGTCTTAAATCATGAAAACATTA